CGAAAGCAGTTCTAACACTTGTTGAAGTCCCCCACTATAATCAAATTTTCTAGGAAGGAATCAATTTTGAAAATAAGTAATTGAAAAAGGAGGAATCATCTCTGTTAGGGTCATAGATGTTTACAAGAGTGTATTTAATGTCGGCGATGCAAACTTTAACAATTAAGAATCTTCCCTACGTGTCTTATCAGTTGATAGGATTTATGTGTTTTCAGGTTTTACTGAACAGGATTGACACTCCTGCCCCCAGCCTTGGCTGCTTAATTACTAAAAGCATCATTACCAATCCAGTCTTTTTAAAGCTTTTTCACCTCAGACTCAATGAGGTGGGTTTCCTTGAGGAATATTATATCCGCTTACAGTTCATTAAAGTGAGACTCATATTTTTCCTTCTTATAGAGTTAACATTCCTTTTTATGTTCCAAGAAACATATTTAAATAAATTAGCCATAGGTACTCACAGGGGGAAGTGTCCCAAAAAACATCTTAGGCCATGCCCACTAAGACTCAGAGGTACAGCTAGGGTGAGAAGTCCAGGTTGAAGAATACCTAGAAGGGTTCATAAGGCTGAGAAACGTGGCCAGAAAGGGTGAAGCATCCTGCAGGATAAATGACCCAAATTCAACCTTCAGGGACATATTGGTAGATAATATTTTTGTGTGGTTTACATATATTACTCCAGGGGGGATTCTGTGCCAAAAAAAAATAAAAATTTTGCACCAAAAAATTAAAGATTCTGCACACAATATTTTAAAATTCTGCAAAATAATGCATATTTTATTTGTTAAAATAACAATATAATCATGCTGGTTTCAATTATTTTGGTTATTTATTTAAACTACAATACAATGGATGAAGAATGAGAATGGGGAGCATTGGAGGAAATCCCCTCTGTCTAATAGTAATGTAGCTAATATTGACCCTTTACTTCTAGTTATTAATCAACAAATATATGCAGCCATATGCTCAGTGTTACATCATAGCAACTGATGAGCAAGTGAGGGCTGGGGAATCAAATTCACAATTTATATTAGCTCCTGACCATCTCCAGAAAGGTCAGTAGCAAACAATTGATGGAGCACATTTTGATAGGAAATTTTTCAGTCCAAAAATGTAAACCAGTTCTAATCACTAAAGCACCATAAGCATTTATAAGGCCTCACAGTCCTTTACAATAAGGCTCCTTTACACCACTTTGGCAATGCAAAGGAGTCTTAAAAAATTTTTACACCTATTTTATACTCCTGGGGGGTTCACTAAGAACAATGGGAACAATTCACTAAGGCAGGCTGCTACATTCTGTTTTGCCTAAGTGGACAGAACCTGTCCCATGCCTCCCTCCCCAGAAACACCCCAAAGCCCTGCCCCTCCATGCTGAGTATGCCGCAATAGTGAGTGAGAGGGTCAGAGTGTCTCTCTCACATGCACGACTGTCCAGCCCTCCCGCCCCAGCGGTGATTTATGTCTCTACCGGCTGCTCCGGGCACCCAAACCAACCTGCCTGCACTGCCGGGGAGGCGCGTGTGACCGCTCTTGTGGCTTCCCTTTGCTTCCTCATCAGAAGTCATTTTTTTTGCAGGGAAGCAAAGAAATCTGTGTGGGCCATGAATTCTGTGCATGCGCTGTGACGCAAAAATTCCTCCAGGAGTAATATATATTGTTAAAGGTTAATGTAATTGAAAATTTCCTGTCTATACTGGATTCTGTTAATTCAGGGATCAAAGGAAATCTTAACATTTAAATGAACTGCAAATATAGTGATATCACCGTCTTGATTTCTCTTTGAAGTATATAGCAAATCCACCTGCAAATGGTGGAAAACAGGCAATTGCTTTATGTTAATCCGTGTAGCTAATTACTGGTGATGCTTCAGAAATAGGTCTCCTTCAGAGTCTCGATGATTGCCTTTTGTTCGCCTAAGAACTCTGAACTGTCAAGAGAAGACCTGGAATTGTATAAAAAAAACCCTTGGGTCATGATCCTTTTTCTCTCAGATCTGCTTGATACTTTACGCATAAAACTGAGATCTCCAGTCCCACCTGGATCACCCTGGAAATGAACATTGGACTGAATCTATGGACTAATTCTAAGAACTCTTTGCTACTCCAAAGCTCACCATCTCTACTATGAAACTAATCTCAGAACTGTACTTATGTTTGTATGTATACTGATCTTTTAATCAATATACTCTTTTCTTTTAAATAAATTTAAGTTCAGTTAATAAGAATCGGCTGTAAGCGTCTATGTGGGTAAGATCTGAAATATTCATTAACTTGGGAGGTAATGTGGCCGAGCCTTTGGGATTAGTAGAGCTTTCTTACATGATGAATAAGATTTTCAGTAATCCTCATCATATTTGACTTAGGTGTCTGGGTGGAAGCCCAAGGCTGGGTTGCTATACGGGAACTGTTTGGCTTCTGTGCAACCAGTAAGGTATTGTAGAAGCTGTTTTCTGCTGGCTTGATAGAATATTGAAATATCCACTAGCTTTGGGGATTGTCTGCCCCATTCTTTACAGTTTGCCCTAACTAAATAACCTCAGTGTGGCCCCCCTGGGACACTGGTCACAAAGGCATTTAGATGGAGAAGAGAAGCTAGAGTGGCTAGAGGTTAAGTAGGTAAGAAAGAGTTAAGAGGAGGTAGGATAGGGGGGTTGTAAAATAAGGCAAAGGCATGAAAGACCAATGCTCTCAAGTCAGAGTGGGATAAAAAAAATCAGGAAGTTAGAGGGGTATCCTGAATGAACACATCCTCTCTGTTCCACATCAAATGCAAAATATATGAATATGCCCAATCCTGCCCCTTGGTGCTTCCCCACACAAAAGGCAGGAGATAAGGTGGGGGAAAGGATGAACATTGCTGAATACATTTTAAATAAAGTTTCTGGGCTAAATGCACATAACTATGCATCGGATGCTAGAGTCCTACCAGACATATATCTGCTTGTGGATCCACTGGAAAAATGAGGGATGAGAAACAAGAAACTACTTTACCACCTCCTATCTACAGGTCGGTCCAAAATCCCAGTGTATGGCTCTCCAATGGCCAGCTCTTTAAAAACACACAGGAAGTAAAATAATGCCCTCATCCCTGTGCACGTTACCCAATATCAACATCTGCAATTTAAATGGAATACATTACCAGTATGCTGTTCTTAAAATCATTAAGTAAGGCAACCCTTCCCACACCCTACTCCTCTTCCTTCTGGAAGCACAAAACCAATGGGGAAAAAAGCCCATAACCATTATTAGAAATACAGTCAGGAGATCTGGACTGATAGATGGCCAACTGCAATTCGTATAGTTTGTTAAGCAAAGCAATCAACCTGGTGTTTCAAAGAGTGAATAGGATATAGTTACTGTCTCCACTGGAGCCAGGTTGGTCCGGATCCTTGCTCAGTGGGATGTGTTGTGCTGATTTGAGTCTATGAATGTCTGATGGTTCTGCCTGGCTTTAAATATGGGTACAATGGAGGATATGGGAGGTACAGAGCTGAGGTGGGCACTTCTCTGGATCCCTTCACTTCTGACAACAACAACCCAGCATCACAAGTGTTGAATAGCAAATCCCATGGCAATGTAATTTTTGTTCTATAGAAAAACAATACAATGTAGTTCTCTGCTTCTCCCAGTTTAGAGAAGCTAAGGGCCTGGCTATCCACCTTGATCTTAAAAAGAGCTTGGAAGGCTATAAAATAGGTCAGTCCTTTCTCCGTGGCCTGCTTCCTTGACATATTTAATAGGGCTCTTTTTTCAATTACCTCCTGGCTGTAGTTGGGAAATATCACTATTCTATGCCCTTTCCAGCTCAGGTTTCCTTTTTCCCAGGTTTTTTTTTTTTTTTTTTTTTTTTTTAAGTATTGTTTTTTTCACATCGTGTTTTAGAAAATTTAATATAAATGCTTGGCTTGGAATTAGTCAAGGGTTTGGGGGCTAGGAGCAATGGGTCCTTTCTATATTCAGCTCTGTGTCTGGGCATAAGGAAAGAATCTCAAATAGTGTCTTACACAAAAGTTCTACAGGTCTTTTCCCATTTCCTCAGGGTATCCAACCACCCTCAAATTATTTCTTCTGGACTGGCCTTACAGATCGATTCTATCTTTCAGCTTTTGGATCAGACATGGTTGGTCTGCACTGATCATAATAGAGTTCATATTGTCTTCTAAGGTAGACATTCTAACTTCTGCCTCCCTGATCCTGGAGATTAGCCCCTGCAAACTGAACTGGTGTGCTGCAGTTATGGTTTTAATTTCAGAGATATTCTCTGATACAGTGGTTCTCAAACTTTTTTTACTGGTGACCCCTCACATAGCGAGCGTCTGAGTGCAATCCCCCTTAGAAATTACTAACACTTTTTAATATATTTAACACCATTATAAATGCTGGAGGAAAAGCGCGGTTTGGGGTGGAGGCTGACAGCTCACGACCCCCCATGTAATAATCTCCCTACCCCCTGAGGGGTCCTGACCTTCAGTTTGAGAACCCCTGCTCTGATATTTTCATAAGCAGGATCTGTTCTTCAGCTATCTGCTTTATCATATTGTAGACTTGCTCCAGGCCTACTGTAAACTTATTCCTTCTCGAATGCTGCCATGCTGCCCTGCACAGAGCTATCAGAGACCCTCTGATTCTTCACAATTTCTGGTGAGTCTGGGGAGTTCAAAACCAGATCCATCTGCTACTATGATGTTAAAGAGCAGGATGAGCCATGCAGAGACAAAAAACTGTGGTGTTAGTACAGTGGATGTTGACAGTTTTTAGTGAGGCTGAGCAAAAGCTCCAGATCTAGGCAGACATTTTCCCCTGCTGGCTCCTGGAAGCTGGCCGAGGATATCTTTAGAGAAGTGCATAAAACGTATTTTCTGATTACTAAAATAACATTTGAACTCAATTGCTGACAAATCTTTGTGGCAACATCATTACTCATTGTACTTTGTTACATGACTTTTCAAAAAAAATAATTGCTCAATTCCTTCCTCTTTATAACCAATATTAATTTACCTGGGTCCTATTAAAATCCTTGGTAGCGGCACAAACAGCTTGTCTGGTTTCTACGTCTTTTCTTTGTAGCTCCATAGCCTTTTGATCTAGGTCTATCCTGTTCTTGTCATGGAGATCCTCTAAATTAGATTAAAACAGAATTTAGTTGATAAGGTTGATCCTCCATGCATATATAATTGTCATTTTAAAACAGTTGTTAGCTGATGAACTATTCACATAATATTAAACAGAAAGCCACCTCATGTATTCCTTTCCAAATTCCATGGCTAAGGTTTGTCATCATAGAATGTTTAATGAGTCAGTAAATTAACATATCAAGCAATCCAGTTTAGAAATGTAAAAAACGAAGCAAACTTTATTTACTTTTTTGTTCAAAACTTGTTTGGACAATGTTTTTAAAAAATATTGTAACTATCCCCAGAAAACACTTTTTTTTCAGGACAGAAACTAAAAAATAAATCAGAGCTTCATTTTATCTACTGTAACATTAGTATAAAAGCATAACAAGTACCTTGACTTCATTGAATCAAACATTCAAAATACACAAGCTTTTTTTAAACCACTCAGTCTCTCAATTTCAGGTGTATAGGGGAAAAGAAGATTAGAAATTCATGGGATCATCATAAGTTCTCAATAAAGGTACTTTAACTGAGACATTAAAACAAGTTCATTTTTGTCAGTCTGTAGAGGATGTCTATGTGAAGTTAAAATTCCAACAGCACTTTTATGAAATGAGTATTGAATACACTGAACTTTTCCTATATCACAGACTGGCATAATGGGATATTCTACAGTTTTGCGAATTATTCACAGTAGAACTTGTAAAAAAAAGAGCATGAAAATCAAACTTCTACCTTCGTTTGTTACCTGCAAATTTCTGATCTGCTAATGCATTCTTCCAGTCTCTCTGTTGCTGTAGAGACCATTCTCTTGACTGCTCCTTTTGAAATTTCACCCTCCGATCATGGTTTAAATCTTCTCCTAGAAACTTCTGCAAGCCGGATATAGTACATCGAGGGTCATTATCAGAGAGGCGAGCAGGAGTATCCTTCTTCAGGGCCTGTGGGTCAGACAAATCAAACTCACGCCGAGTTTCTGGCTTCTGAAAATTCTGTTGAAACTCAGTGACAGCTTTGTTTAGGTTTTTGATGTCCTCTTTCTGTCGTTCTTCTAACATACAGATGATCTTGTCATTTTGCTTCATTTCACCAGCTACAAAAAGATTATAAACAAGGTGAAACTGCGAGATTCAAAATGTACAGGGGGTTGTAAAAAATGAAGAATGTGATTTTGAAAAAAAGACTAGAAAATAAATCTACTAGACTTAAGTCATTTAGAAGGTCAAAGCTGGCAAATGATTTTTCTAAGCTGATTGAATAGCACTATTATAAAACCTCTCAATTTTTAAGAATCACTTTTGGCACCAGAAACTTGCTGGAAAATATAATAAAAAAATATACATAAAATAAAGACAGAAGATAAGACTGCTAATAAAATTAGATAGGTCTATTTTAATCACATTTTGTGTAGCATATCAATCCCAGGTACTGTAGAGCAATTCCTCAGCATCTACTACTAATTTGCAGTAGTGACTGAAACACAGTTACTTATTAGGAACACAAGAAACTATAAAAATAACAAATCAAGAGCTCTAAAATGAGGTATCACCAATGATATAGCTTAGAAAATATACTGGCAAACACCATCCCTTTTTGGAGAGTTTATTGTTAATTCCCTCCTCCAGTTCCAACATTGCAACTGATCCCGTCCCACGGAGTACACAGTCTAACTGTTTAACTATAATTCACAAGTAAATACCATTGCCTCTGTCAGAATGCATGTGTTCTGAAAGTTTCCAAAAGGGCAAATTCTGTTAGATATTGTGAATCAATGCCTGCCAGGAAAATCATGACCAGCAGCGGCTGTGCAGTGCGGAAGCTGGCTACTATATTTTGGCAATTCTTGAACCCACAGAGAGGTTACTCTGTGGGCCCTTTGTAAATGAAACCATAGAGGGGCATTCCAACCACGGTGAACCATGGTGCAGCCTCGAGGTCAGGGGATGTGGTCAGCATAATTATGTGTGTATGCCCTGACTCAGCAATGGCTCCTACTCACAACGCTGGTATAGATTATTTATGTTTCTATCACAAATAATCTATATACAGATGGCTGTCCATAATGAGCACCTCTAGGAGTAAAGAGTTATTGCAATGCATGTGCTTCAGTGGCACAGGTTCTATTAATATTTGCAGAACTGTACAGCCTTCCCCAAGTAAATTGATGAGTACTTTACACCCCCACCCCCGAATCAGATTAATTAAAATACACTTTCCTAATGGCATGTAGCATATACATGATGTAATATAAAAAAAAAATCCAAATATATAGAGTGGGCTAAACCCTGAAGACCTTATTGATAGAAAACTTCCATGGACTTTAGTGGAAGTTTCACCTAAGTAGGTACGGCAATATTTACCCAGTGTGGAAAAAAAATCTTTTCCCCCTCAAGTGATGACAGATATTGTTTCAAAGATGAGATACAAAAATAAATAGGATATACTTTCTATGTCTGAATTAAGAGGGAAAAACATAATCAGTCATGTGCTCACATATGGACAAGGTTTATGAAATTAATTTATATTTAGAAACTAAATGTGGAACCAAGGAAATACAAATTTGCTCAGATAACTATTACCATTTTAGTGCATATGTATCTTTATTTGCTGATACAGCGGTAGGTGATTCCTACAGCATACGCTTTCAGAATGAGTGCCTAAAGTGAGGATCCTAAGTCTGATCCTTTAAAGTATTATGCATAATTAAGGCTAAGATTTTATCATGCATATTTTTAGTAAAAGTCACGGATAGGTCACAGGCTTCCGTGAATTATTTTTTATTGCCTGTGACCTGTCCGTGATTTTTACTAAAAATATGCATGACAAATAGGGAGCTGCGGGGTCCCCACACTACACCTGGGGGCCTGGCTGGGAGCTGCAGGGCCCCCCTCTGCCCGGGGCTCTGAGCTGCGGGGCATCCATTGCCCATGGCAACCAGGAACTGTGGGGCACCCCCGCCACACACAGCGGCTGGGAGCTCCCGGGACACTCCCTTCCCTGCCCCTGGTGGCTGGGAGCTTGGGGCCTCGCAGTTCCCAGCCACCACGGGCAATGGGGGGACCTGCAGCTCCCAGGCGCTACAAGCTCAAGTCACCGAGGTCTCTGGAAGTCACAGATTCCGTGACCTCTGTGACAAAATCGTAGCCCTATGCATAAGCTTAACTTTACGCACAGGGCTCATTGGGACTACTGATATGTTTTAAGTTAAACTGATTTTCAAAAGGGCTGAAAAGCCAACACTTCCCGTTGTCTTCTACTCCTGGGGGAATTCTGTGCCAAAAAATTAAAAATTCTAAACATAATATTTCAAAATTCTGCAAAATTCTACATATTTTATTTGTCAAAATAACACAATATAATCACACCAGTTTAAATTATTCTGGTAACTTACTTGCTGACAGGTATTTTGAAATATGTCTGTAATAATACAGACAATGAAAAAGATTCAGGAAATGGTTTTTGTCAAATAGATTCCTTACTAGGCATATAAATACAGTACTTTGTGTAATTCATTTCAGCTACAATACAGAACCGCGAGCCCCCCCTCCCCGAAGCAGTGCAAAGGCTTGGGGGAGTCAGGGGTAACAGAGGAGCTGAAGGGAAAGGGAAGGAGCCTGTGAGTGAACCTGGAGGGTTGTTGGGTGTGGGTGGGAGAAATATGGAACAGGTTTTTTTTGGGGGGGGGGCAGGGAAGAATTGTTAGGGAGCCTCCCCCATGCAGACTCTGGCTGACCCCTGGCCTCTCCCATTCAGTCAGACACATCTTCCCCTGTCCCCTTGCACCCCTCAGTCACCCTATGTGTCTCTGCACCCTCTCCTCCAATCCCCATGTGTCCCTGCACCCCCTTGTCCCATGTCCCTGTGCCCCCACTCAGCCACCCCCTCCCCCATGTGTCCCTGCACCTCCTCCTCATCCCCATGTGGCCCTGTGCCCCTACTCAGCCACCCCCTCCCCCTTTCCCCATGTGGCCCTTCATCCCCTCCCCCTTTCCCCATCTGGCCCCACTCAGCCACTCTCCCTCCCCCATGTGTCCCTGCATTCCCTCCCCCTATCCACATGTGGCCCTGCATCACTTCCCTCCTGTTCCCATGTCTCTGTGCCCTCACTCAGCCACTCCCCTTCCCCCATGTGTCCCTGCATCCCTCCCCCTGTCCCTATGTGGCTCTGTGCCTCCACTCCCATTCAACCCCTGCCCCAGTGTGTCCTCCCCCAATAACCCTTATGAACCCCAGTTTGTGACCCCCCCAGCAGCCCCATGTGCCCCACACTGTCTGTCCCCTCATATCCCCTACCTCCTGACCTGGCCCCACCAGCATTGTGAAGAAGGCATCCTCTTCCCTTCCCTATCGCAGCTGGGGGTTGCTCGGGAGTGGCTGCTCTGTTCTAGTGCCACAGCAGCCCCTGGTAGGCAAAAAGCATAACTGCCGCAACTTTCTGGCAGAAGTTATTGCCTGTGGGGAAAAAAAATGATGCGCAGCACATGAATTATGTGCATGCAGAGCTGCGCAGAATTCCCCCAGGAGTAGTCTTCAGACCACTTACAGAGGTGCCTAACTTTTGGTACCAATTTTTAACATCTTGGCCTATATTTCCATGGCAGCAAATATTCAGGAAAAGACTGGTGGAAACATTTAAAAAGGAGAAAATGGAGAGAAAAGATTGCAAAACAGAGTACAAATGTTTACATATACTAATATAAAATTGTATTATTTATATAGCAATAAATATACCAATTGTCTCATGTCGTGCTCTCTCATTTGCCTCTTGAATCTTCTTATCATTGATTTGAGTATCCAAAGCATCCTCATCAACCTATTATAATGAAAAAAATTAAACTCTGTAAAAATTATTTATTCTATTGAAAATATTTACCGTTTACCGGCTCTAGTCCAACCTTGTATATTAAAATGTCCACCTGAGCCAGAAATGAATGTATTTGCCTTGCAAAATTATAATTCTAGACAGCTGTGAATTACGTTATTGCCAGTGAAATGGCTTTAATGGTAAATTACAGGCACTTTACTATTTAAAGTATGTGGCTGCAAAAAGAAAATCCAACAATAATCTTCCTGTTTGTTCACTTCATTCTAACAGCAACAGGTACATTCTTATTCCGAAACAACATAACATTACAAGGTTAGGTTGAGCTCCAATACATTAGATGAAATGTTTCTTCCACTGTAGAGGACATTCCTACTTAAGTTACTTATCTTTCATCCATTTACATATATTAAATAGTTGTAAAGGTTTTTGACACTCACTTAAGAGTTATAATAGTTTTCAGTTCTAAAACGTTTGTGCACTTCTGTAAAATGTACCATTTTGACTCAAACATCTGTTGGAGGCGGAGATGGCGGTAAGAGGGAATTTTCAACCTTCACAGTGTGAAGCATGGTATCTGATGTTTCAGCATGCAACTGGGGTTCTGTCCCTGACTCATCCACAGATTTTCTGTGTGACCTTGGCCAAGTGACTTAATCTCTTTTTGTATCTATAAAGGTGGGATAATAATCCTTAATTGTCTTGGTAAAGCACTTTTAGATCCTTGGATGAAAAATGCAAGGTATTAATTATTCTGTATTTGGATTAAGCAAGTGCCCTCAAAACAGATCACAGTAGAAAAAACATATGGTGCGATGCTGCCTAGGATTGCTGAATATGCTGATTAGGTGAAGAAACAAAGTCTGATCTTATGATGTATGAAAGCAGCAGAAGTCCTAGAATACCTTCAAATGATAAAGTTCAAAACCATGCAGTACTGGATTCTAAATATAAACTGTTATGAGGAAATATTTGGTTAATAAAGTTCTTCACAATTTCAGTAATAAGTTAAGGAAAAATTAAACATGCTTCCTTTGGTAGATTCTAGGCATAAAATGGACAGATAAAGACTGGACAGATTATACAAATTTTGAACTACTGTACCAGCTATATACCTTCTCTGAACAGTTTTCTCTTGTCCAGAAAATACCCAGAAAAGAACTGCTCCAAATCACACAGATCTTTAGTACTCATCTGAATAGTCCAGAATCCCAACCTGAGAGGATCTGAAATGCTAGTCATTCCACTAACTGCATGCCAAGATATCAATAGAATTGCAGTGATGAATTATTTGCTATGCTGAGGCTTCCAACTGGTTTTTCTAATCTGTTCTTATAATAATCTTTCTTTATTTGTAATTTTACACCTTTTTTGTACATATTCATACTGTGTATATATTAATTCATATTCATTTTTTATTTGGTTGTGTATTTGACTGGAAGCACGAATATACTGTATATTTTGTAGGCTTGCAGGATCTTTCTACTTTGTGCTATGCTTAATTTCAGCGCACAGGACAACCCCCACTCTGAATGTTATCTTTCACATGTTGAATACACTATTTTAATTAAACCAACAAAAACATTTATAGAATCCTTTGTTAGGTTTATCTTTCATTTCTTATGTTTGTCTCTCCTGCAAATTGATTCAACATACTAGTGCAAAAGTCTTTGGGCCAGATCCTCAGATGGTATAGATCAGAATAGTTCCATTAAGTGGAGATATGCAGATTTACATCAGGTGAGGATTTATCTTTTAAACTTTTAAAATCATGTGGTAGACACATATGTCATGGCAAAAGCCAAATGATGAATGTCCCTGTGCAAGAAACTGGTCTTCAGTTGTCTAGTTACTTTACCTGTGTGGGCAGACTGTCTGACAATTGCCAAGTACACCTCTACCCCGATATAACGCGACCCGATATAACACGAATTTGGATATAACGCGGTAAAGCAGTGCTCCGGGGGGGCGGGGCTGCGCACTCCGGCGGATCAAAGCAAGTTTGATATTATGTGGTTTCACCTATAACGCGGTAAGATTTTTTGGCTCCCGAGGACAGCGCTATATCGGGGTAGAGGTGTACATGATTTCTTGCACCCTCCTCAGAAGCATCTAGCACTGGCCATTACTGGTGACAGGATACTGGATCAGATGGACCACTGGACCATCTTATTCCCTTGTAACTAAGGTGACTGTGGCATAAAGGCCCCAGGCATAAATCCAAGGATTTATTGAAAATCTAAGTGAAATTATCCTTCCAATGACTCATGGATAGTAAAAAAATTCAACCCTAACACTCTATGGATCAAATTCAGACCAGTCATAAACAGGTCGAATCCACTGAAGTCAATGGACTGAACCTGATTTCACCAATTCTGAATCTAGTTTTAGGTGATACTAATAAAAAGTTGTTAATACATTAATAACACTGAAGGAAGGTTATATATTCTAATATATTCTATATGTCTAAGGGACATTTTAATGTCCCTTAATGGCTGTGAAAAACGTGTCACAGACCGTGAAATAAGCCCTTCCTTGTGAAATCCCATGTCCCCTCGTTCCTAGGAGTGCCCCAGCAAAGGGGGCTCCTAGCTCCAGCTGGGCTGGAGAGGGACAGGACTTGTCCATCTCCTGCACAGCCACTCTGGGGGAGCGGGAGAGAGACAAGACCCACCTCCAGGTGCCACCCCCGCTGCAGGACACTCTGGGACTGGGCAGCAGCCCCTGAGGTTCCTGCAGCTGGAGGAGACTTGTGGAGTTGGGTCCAATCTTCCCTGTGCTGCTGGGAGCACCCCAGCAAACGGGGTTCCTAGCTCCGGCTGGGTTGGCGAGGGACAGGACTTGTCCATCCCCTGCACAACTGTTTGGGGTGGTGGGGGAGGGAGATCAGACCCACCTCCACCCCCGGGAACCTCCTGTGCCTGCAGGAAGCTCTGCGGTTGCTGCCTTCAGAGTCCAGCTCTGAGGGTGGCATCCCATAACCACCTATTACAGGTTTGCGACCCCCCCCCAAAATCTTCTTTTGGGTTGGTACCCTCAGGGTTACAACACTGTGAAATCTACTAATTTTAAAATCCTATGGCTGTGAAATTGACCATAATGAACCCTGAATTTGGTAGGGACCTACCTATAGTATATCTGAGGCTCTCAAGGGACTACAAACATAATTTAGCCTCATTGCACCTCTGTAAGTTAGTGAAGTCCCCCCCGCAAAAAACAAACTGGAAGAGACAGACACATAATGGGTCTGATTCTCAGTTGTCAGTACCTTGTGCAGTTATTTACAGCAGTGTTGCTATCATTCTGATTTGGTAGTGTCTTATGTCCACCTTCCACTTGCTCTGCACTAGTGTAAATGACTACTTAAGGCAGGGGTGGCCAACCTGTAGCTCTTCAGAAGTTAATATGTGGCTCCTTGTATAGACATGGACTCTGGGGCTGGAGCTACAGGTGCCAACTTTCCAATGTTCCGGGGGGTGCTCACTGCTCAACCCCTGGCTCTGCCACAGGCCCTGCCCCCACTACACCCCTTCCCACCCCGTCCCTGGAGCCTGCAATGCCCTCGCTCCTCTCCCTCCCACCCAGAGCCTCCTGCATGTCACAAAACAGCTGATCGGGAGGTGTGGGGAGGCGCTGATCGGCGGGGCTGCCAGTGGGCGAGAGGTGCTGGGAGTGGGGAGAGGGAGCTGATGGGAGGCTGCTGACGTATTACTGTGGCTCCTTGGCAATGTACATTGGTAAATTCTGGCTCCTTCTTAGGCTCAGGTTGGCCACCCTTGACTTAAGGTGCAGGGTAGTGGGCAATCAAGCCCTATAGATATAAAGGTATGTTTGCCATAGGGAAAGGCTCCAGCAGCTCCCCACTACCTCACCCCTGCTGTACAGCCTTTCACTGACATGAGTAGCTAAGCAGCTACACACGGCAGTGCGGACTCTGCCTGCTTGTCACTGTGGCGTGTAGCTGCATACACCCTACAAGCCACCGCAAGTGGTGTGAGTAGTGTAAACGCAACCTAAATATATACCCACACAGGGCCTGATTCGGTTTCCACTAAAGAAAGCTGAAGTTTTGTCCTTGGTTTCAATGGTTTGTCCTTGGTTTCAATGGAAGCAGGATGGGCTACACATGTAAGAACTGCAGAGGTAATCTTCCAACACTGGAAATGTTGAGAGGCTCTCTAAATTGGAGTGTGTGCCTTCTAAATATGAGACCACCCAGCATGGCTCGGTGCTTCCCCGTCTATTATTGGGGATAAAGACACTCACCTTTGTAAAGTGCTTTCAGCCCCCAGGACAAAAACCGCAACACTGTCACTCCTGGGTATTACTGGTCCCTGGACGAAGCCACGTTTCCAGGTACTTGTGGCCCCGCCTTTGAGTCCCGATGCATGATCATTAATTTAATCGGTCCCCATAGAAGTCGGCACCCAACAGTCCCGGGGGGGGTGGGCCAGTCCGCCCCTAGACTGCGCCACGAGGCGGCAGCCCCCGCCCCGCTCCCCTGGAAAGCGCCTCCCGCCGGCCGTCCCCGCCGCCCGCTTACCCCGATGGTCCTGACTCGGGCGTTGAAGATGCGGCTCTGCCGGTGCAGCTCGCGCTGCCGCCTCCGCTCCAGCGCAGCCGCCTCGGCCAGGTCCCGCTGCAGGCCCAGCTTGCGCATGGTGCCCGCGGGGGGCGAGGTCCCACCAAGGCCGAACAACGACGATCTCCCGGGGCCCTGATTCCCCGCCCCAGGCTGCCGCCGGGCGATGTCAACAGAGCGGGTTGCTAAGGGAACGAGCCCGCCCCCCTGATTTCCGCGGTCAGGTCCCTCCCCCGCTTGGCTCCTCCTCCCTGGTCCCGCTCCCCTCAGAAATCTCGCGAGACAAGCCGTCTTTTCCCGCGGGAACTAGCACGAGGCGGCTTCGCCTCAGTGTCTCGCGCTGCGCGTCCGCTTTTGTGAAGCCGCAGGTTGCCTGAGGGCGGCGCGCGGCGCGGAAGCTGCGCGTGACACCTGCCCACCCCCTGCGCGCGCGCACCCTCCCACATAACCCAACTACTCAGGGGAGGGGCGTTTCAGACATTAACGGCCGCCGTCCCCTCTGGGGTCCCGGCTCGCCCCTCCCCGCGGGGATGGGTTACCTGAAGCTGCTGCTGCTGGAGAACTTCAAGTCATGGCGGGGGCGGCAGAGCATCGGCCCTTTCATGAGATTCAACTGCATCATTGGGCCCAACGGATCAGGTAGGGCAGGGCAGGCCACAGCCCAGGGGGCACCAGGGCTTTGCCGGGCTGAGCCCAGCCTGAGGGTCGGACAGCTACCCCACCCTGGGGATAGTGACTTGCCTCCTGCCCAGACCCGAGGGGGTGGTGGCTGCAGCTGCCCTGATCCCACCGACAGAATGCCAACTACCCCGCTGGCCCTGGTGTAACCGCAGCGTCGCAAACCCCAGTGTGGACACAGCACTTGGGGTCTGAAGTCAGGGATGCGCTAAAGAGGCCCAGCCCCAGTGTCTACCCAGCTGGTTTTAGCGACGTAGCCCGAGCTCCGCAAGCTGGAGTTCATCACACTGGGTTCACACTTCCTGCCGCTTGCTATGTAGACATACGTAAAGTAGGCCTGGTCTGGCTGCGTGGTGGTGTCAGGCGGCCCAGGGTGCCTCCCCTCTAGAAGAAAGGGCCAAGTCAGAGCCTCGTCTTCACTGATGACAGGTGTGTGTTTACCTTGGGGTGACTAACATGTGCAAGCTCTCCTGCTGTCAAATCCTAGTGCAGGCAAGGCTTTACCAGCCCCTAGACTAAGTGGTGGGGTCAATCTGGGCCTGGGGTGCTGATCTCGCCCTGCTACCTCAGGGCAAACACAACAAGGGCCTTGTCTCCACTGGGGGTTTTACCGCAAGATAATGATTGTGCTCGTTCATCTCATTGGGGGGGAAAACAAAACAAAACCTTTCAAAGCTGTGAAGATAAAGCCTAAGGTAGTTATCACTGAACCCAGCTTGAACTCTACTACTTTTTCTACTCAAAACAAAAAACCTTACTTACAGTGGTGTACATTTCCCTATTAATAATAATAATAATTAATAATGTAGACAATGCAATGTAGACACGGCCTTATAAACCCTCTCCAGTTGGCGCTGTTGGGAATCACAGCACAGACCAAGCCCAGATGGCTGGATCTATTCTTGTTTTGATCACATTTGGAGCAAGTTTAACTAAAATGACAGTAAAATCATGGCCAGGTGTTATTTTGCATCCCCTACCACAGCTCAACAATGGGAGATTTTTTTTCATAAACGTGTGTAGAAAAAGCAGTAGACGCTATAACCAAACTTATCCAAGGAGGGAGAGAGTTGTCCAGTGGTTACCGCAGGGGCCTAGGGTTTTATATTTTTCATTGCTTTAATTTAACTTAATTTTTGTCTGTTAGTGGATCACTCCTACCCTGTCTCCCACTGTTTCTAATGTTCAAAATATTGAATGAAGTTTTTCAGATACTCATCCAGTTAAATCAGCATAAGTTACATGAATCAATAGCCAGAAGAAACTCTGATGCTGTGTAATCCCCAACATTCAGTTCAAGAATGTTCTTATTTTTTCCCCTCTTCTGTTATTTTGGGGGCGGGAGGAGGGCAAGAGAGGAAGATACAGTGTAATGTTGAAGTAGTGATTCTGGGAGACCAGAAAAATGAGGGTGCTATCAGGAATGACAGATAAGAGAAAGGGTGAGTGGAGAAAAGTTTTGGTGGAAAGATAATGTACTAAGTATTAGAAATATTAGCAGAAAAAATATTCATAATAGTGTAAAGAAATATGAAAAAGACATTCTTTGGAATTCAAGAATCTGTAAGAAAGAGTTCTAAATGCATTATGGAATATTTTGGTAACACTGTCAATGTCTGTAGTATGTAGGAAGCAACTGATATTGTCAAGCAAACTGAAGTAAAGGGGGGGAAATTAGAGATGCTTAGATAAAGGGTGTATAGACCTGGATATGTCATAAACTAAGTATGGAATTCAGTGGTGAAACACTTTTATAATCATTAATCTGTTGCAGACATTGATACCAGCTGTTGGTTATAAATTACTTTCAAACATGTAAACCTCTTCTACAATTTTATTTTAAATAGATGTTTCTTAAATACATACATAGGTTCTGGAAGACAACAAAACTGAGATCGAAATAAAAGATTAGAAATAAGTAGTCAGCTAAGTATGTTCATACCTATCCAACTCTAAAAAAATTAAAAGTTAATGTTTTTTTGCTCATTTTAAAGGAAAATCAAACATAATGGATGCCCTTAGTTTTGTAATGGGTGAAAGAACAGCAAATTTAAGAGTAAAAAGTGTTCGAGAACTTATTCATGGAGCACACGTTGGAAAGCCATTTTCCTCTACTGCAAGTGTGAAAATAGTGTACTGTGAAGAGAATGGAGAAGAGAAAACATTTTCAAGAATTATTCGAGGTAAGTAGTAGGGTTTTTTTTTTTTCCAGATATTTTCTGTGCTTGATATAGAAAACTTGCAGTGGACTATTTATTTTTAAATCTTAAATATATAATAATCTGATGGTACAACACGGACTAGTGAATCCTTTGGAATTATTAAGCCAATTTTTATAGTACTGGTCATGATAGCCAGGTGCTGTAATTATAAGGATGAAAACAGTAATAAAGTAGAAGAGTTAATCAGATGCTAAACAAAATAGATGTTATGCTCCCCGCCCTAATGATTGCCCAACTGTGGCTCTGAGAGTTTATCAAAGGAAGTGAGTTCCATGGGGCAGTCTACTGTGACAGCCATGTTATGGACACAAGCCCAGATTCTCTATGCTATTTAGGCTCCTGACTTCCATTGAAATCGATGGGAGTTAGGTGCCTAGATACCTTTGAGGATCTGGGCCATGGTTTACAACATTGGAAGCACTCCCAAGGCTAATCCTAATTACTTTTAGGAGAGGTATAGGATTGGTAGCTGTATCTAATGGTCACTGATCATTCCAGTCTTTAAAGGTTAACACCACATGGAAAAGAAAAGGAAGCCAGTGCAGAGACCTGAGCAAAGGAGATGCAACTGCCCCACGCTACTCAGGAGGAGAGCAGCTGCATTCTGCTCTAGCTCCAGTGCCCGGGTGGACTTCAGGGGTAGTCCTGAGAATGTTATGGTAGTCAAGATTGGTATTAACAGGTGTGGCTAATGCTGTAATATCCACATTAGAGAATAATGGTTGCATTTTGGAGATCATAGAATCACAGAAATGTAGGGCTAGAAGGGACCTTGAGAGGTCATCTAGTCCACCCTCCGTTTTGAAGCAGGGTTACCTAGACCATGTCTAAGCTGTTCTTAAAAGCCTCCAATGATGGGGATTCCACAACTTCTCTTGGTAACCTGTTCCAATACTTTGTTAGCTTGATAGTTAAAGTCTTTCATAATATCTAATGTAAACTCCCTTGCTATAGATTAAGATAACTACTACCGTAGTTGTCCTCCCTTCAGTGGACATGGGCAGTTGATTGCTGTTCTCTTTAGAACAGCCCTTAAAATATTTAGAGACTGTTATCCTGTCCCCCTTTAGTCATCTTTTCTTAAGATTAAACATGCCAAGTATTTTTAACCCTTTTCTCATAATTCAGGTTTTCTAAAGTGTTGATGATCTTCTTTTTTTTTTTTTAATTCTTCTCTGAACTCTCTCCAGTTTGTCCATATTTTTCCTTAAGTAAAACTGGACACAGTATTCCAGCTGAGGGCCTCACCAATTCTAAGTAGACTGGAACAGTTACCTCCCTTGTCTTATGTACAACACTCCTGTTAATACACCACAGAATGATATTAGCCTTTTTTTGCAACTGCATCACATTGACTCATATTTACTTTGTGACCAACTATAACCCCCTTTCAGCAGTAGTACTACCTAGCCAGTTATTCCCCATTTTGTAGGGTCCATTTAATTTTTTTCCTTCCTAAATTAAGTTTGCATTTGTCTTTTATTGAATTTCATCTTGTTGGTTTCAGACTAATACTTTGATTTGTCATGGTCACTGTGAATTCTAATCCTGTCCTCCAAAGTGCTTTCAACCCTTCCCAACTTGGTGTCATCAGCAAATTTTATAAGCATACTCTTCACTCCATTAATCCAACTAATGAATAAAAATATTGAATATTACCAGAACAGACCCCTGCAGGACTCCATTAGATCCAAGCTCCCAGTTTGATAGTGAACCATTGATACTCTTTGAGTATGGTTTTTCAACCAGTTGTGCACCCATTTTATAGCAATTTCATATAGACCACTTTCTCCTAGTTTGCTTATGAGACTGTCAAGTGGGACAGTGTCAAAAACTTTATTGAAATCAAGATGTACCATGTTTACTGCTTCCTCCCCTCCTATTCACTTGGCTAGTAACTCAAAGATAATCTCTAATGGTTCTGTGATTGCTTCAGCTAGTTCTTTAAGTACCCTGGGGTGAACTTTGTCAGCCCCTAACAACTTGAATACATCTAATTTAGCTAAATATTTAATCTGTTCTTTCCCTGTTCTGGCTTGCATTCCTTCCATTTTGTTATTTAATCGTGTTAAGCATCCAATGACAATTAACCTTCTTAGTGTAGACTGAAGTAAAACAGGCATTAGCTACCTGCATTGTGGGGTAGTCAGTTAGTAGCTCTCCTTCCCCGCTGTGTCTATTTAGAACTTTTTACTGCCTTTTTATGTGCTTTGCTAGGTGTAAGTCATTTTGTGTTGTAGCCTTTCTCATTTTGTACCTACATGCTTGTACTAGTCTTCTGTACTCATTCTTAGCAATTTGTTCATGTTTCCTCTTTTTGTAGGATTCCTTTTTGATTTTTCAGGTCATTTTAAGAGCTCCTGATGCAGCCCATTTGGCCTCTTATTGTTCTTCCTGTCTTCCTTTCCTATTGGGATAGCTTGCTGTTGTGCCTTTAATATTATCTCCTTGAGAAGCTGCCAGCTCTCCTGAACTCCTTTTTCCCTTATCATTTCTTCCCATGGAACCTTACCTACCAGTTCTCCAAGTTTGTTAAAGTCTGCTTTTTTTTAAGTCTCTTTTCCTTATTCTGCTGCCCTCACTTTTTCCTTTCTTTCGAATCATGAAATGTATCATTTTATGATTACTATCAGTTCTCTTCCACTTTTGGATTTGCAACCAATTCCTCCTTGTTAGTCAGTATCAAGCCTAAAATGGCTGCTGTTCTCCTCTACCTCCGGAATCAAAAAGTTCTCCCCAACACATTCCAAGAACGTATTGGACATTTTGAGTTTTGTCATATTACTTTTCCACCAGATATCTGGGTAGTTAAAATCCACCATTACTAACAGGTCTTATGTTTTGGATATTTCTGTTCTAGAAATATTTGTCATAGAAATGCGTCATCCACCACTTCCTCCTGTTTTAGTTGTCTATCGCAGACCCTTACCCTGATATCAACCTTGTTTTCCCTCCGCCCCTGTCTTTTATCTTCACCCAGAGACTTTCACATGGTTTGTCACTCACCTCCTTCTGGACCTCAGAAGACGTGTAGACCTTCTTAATATACAAAAGGGGGAACAGGTGACCTGATTAGATGAAGTGTCAAATGCACAACATAAATTAATAGTTCAAATATTTGTTACATGATACTTTAATTTTATTGTTTCTTCCTTTATTAGGTAGTTGTTCTGAGTTTCTTTTCAATGATAAAGCTGTTAGCCGATCTGTTTACACAGCAGAGCTTGAAAAAATAGGCATAATTGTCAAAGCAAGGAACTGCATGGTTTTTCAGGTAAGCATTTAAGGTACTTGGTAACCTCCCAAAGCTTGAGTGCAGATTGGGAGTGCTGGGACTAGACAGTTAATGCTGCTCCCTGGTCAGCCAAACAGGTAATTAGTCCCTCATGAATAATAGCAGTCTTGTCCTAGCCTAGAAAGTCTAGGCCATAAAATGGGAATTGCAAGGTTTCTCTGTGTGTTGGGCAATAGAGGGTGTGGAAGGGAGGTAGGGGGAAGCATTATTCATCATGGGAAACCCAGTAATTTCTGTGCTTCAGTTTATAAGTTGAAAAAGGTCTTCATGTTTTGGATTAAAAAAAAAACAAACCTAAAATTGGCTAACCACCTTATTTCTGGAGCCAAAATAATTCTTGACTCAACTTATAATACTCATAAATATGTGGATGGAAAATCTTGTTAGGACATCTAGTTCCTCTTTGACAAGCACAGTTTTTCCTTAAATATATTTTCCAAAGTTCTTTGTCCTGTCTAGTGTGTATTAATCTTCTTAAAGTGTGAATTTACTGCTTTTGAAAAGTGCCATTGTGATGCCTTCTGGTATATTGTCAGTCATCTGGCTACCACCTGTCCTTAAGCAGGAGGAAGCCTTGTCTGTGCCTGCTAGGGGTCAGCCTCCCAACTCTACCAGCCATGAACAATGCAAGCACTCCCCTCTAGGGCTTGCAAGACCCATTGTTTCTCTGCAGGTTGACAATAGGCATGATCCAACGCTCAAGCCCTCTGAGCATCTCCCTGGAGTGTCCAGGTCCAGTCCACTGGGCGCTCACAGTATTCACAGGTTTGCTGCTTCCAAAGAAACAGGGCACTCCTGCTTACCAGTTCTACCTCAGATTACCACTCCTCTTAACAGACAGCACTTATACTTGACTTCACTATAAATTAATTTAACAAAGCATAGAGATTCTAATAATAGCAAGTAGAAGTATTGGAAACAAATGATTACATTTATACAACAAAATCAAAACACACTTTCTAGAGTGTAGGCTTAATTATAAGACATGAGAGTATTTTGTTAGAGTATTGCTCATGCAAAATCCTTGCAGCATTTTACAACCAAGGTTAGCTGTGACCCTCCTTTCAAGAGACAGTCGTGCTGTCAGCTTGCCTCCTGGGTGAAGGATCCTGTGTGTTTCCTTATATCCCCATATATACTCTAAGAGTTCTTTGTCTTTAGTAATAAGCAGGCCTTCCCCTTCAGTTTCTTTCATCCTGTGAATTTCCTTTCTGTAGATTTCACAGTCACTTCTTTTGCCTGTGGCTCAGTATGCAAAAAGGCATACATTATGAGGCATACAATACAAAAATGGCCAGACAAGGAGACAGGTGTCTATTGCCTTCTGTCCGAAAGGAACATTTCTGAGGTATGTCACCTTCTGGTGACTTGCCTTAACTCCAAGACCTTAAGAACATGCCGTATATACTTGATCATAAGCCGGTTCGTTTATATGCCGACCGCCCCCCCCAAGATGGATAAGTAAAAATGGAAAATTTTTATGACCCATTCATAAGCCGACCCTATAATTCAGGGGTCAGCAAACTTTTTGGCTCCCGGGCCATCAGGATAAACCACTAGTGGGCAGAGATGGTTTGTTTACCTCGAGTGTCCGCAGGCACGGAGGTAAACCTAAGTAAAGAAAGTGTCCCGGTGCGCCAGCTGCTTTACTCTGACAGGACGGGCCGGCAACTGGAGGGGAAATGTTTTTTGGGGGGGGGGAGAAGCTGGGGGTCAGGGGAGTAACCCTTGTGACCACCCCCCACAGGACCCCACCCCTAGCCCGGGACCCCCACACTCTCCACATCCCATCCTTTCCCACCTTATTTGGGGAGGGCCAGGGGAGGATGTCTCTGGCCTGGCTGGAACTGCTCCGGCAGGCTGGGCAGCGCGGCCACAGCCTGCTCTGGGGGGTGGGGCCGAGTGACACAGCTGCAGCCTGCCAGCCCCGGAGTTGCAGCTGCTTCAGAGGCTAGGGGGAGAGCAGCGTGGCCAGAAGCGGAGAGACTCTGGCCCCGCCTCTTCCCTTCTAGCTCTGCTGGCTGTGCTGCCTCTCCTTGCTCCCTCTGTTGGGGGGAGGGGCTGTGTCCCACCTCTCCCTCTCTATACCCGTTCATAAGCCGACGCCCCACCCCCCACCCCGTCTCTGGTGCTTCCCTTTTTTACTAATAAAATTTGGCTTATGAACGAGTATATACGGTAATTTTTAGATTAAAAGCATAACTCCTTAAATATTATCTGTACATACATTTTGCAGTGAGTATGATAACCAGTGGGCTACTGGCTCTTGGTAGAGACCTCACATGCCATACTTCAGTGAACTATTATGCATATATCCAACCCAGGGGATCCCTGTAAAACCCTGTGCACTCTGCCAGTTGTCACCAAGAGGTCCCTGGGTCACAGCCACTTATTTGACATCACTAGAGACCAAAATCTTTTTATTTATGAAGAAGGTGCCTCACAATATCACCTTCGCCACATTGGTTTATTAATGAGCCCAAATACTCCTCTGAAGAACCACTTCCAAGGTCAACGTTCATTTTTCTTATCTGTTCAGTTATTGGGCTGTCTATTGAGACTACCAGTAAGGATGCTAATGGTGATAGTGTGCTTTTTGTGAGTTGGAGGTGTATATCCACTGGGAAATAGAGTAAAATCATATAGACTATGGAACCATCTGTGAGTAACCACTCTTGGTAAATAGGGAACTATGGTGGATTTGAATTAGTGACATGCAGACGAAAGACTATATCCCATTGTTAATAGTCTGTTATTGAGTTCTCCAATCCGTTTAGTTTAACCAGATGTTAAATTAACCCCCAAACAATTTTTAAAAAGCAGATTATCTTAAAACAATTGAAACTTACTTTCAGTGGTTGATAATGGGATTTGAATTCTTAGTCCTAATCTGCCTCACAAGTCTGTTAAAATACTAGCTTCCTGTTTAATTTTTTTGCAAACTGTATTTGGCAGTTAAGTATTTTTAGTTTTATATTCCTTCTAATTAGATATCGTGGTTAAAAATCTCTTCTTCTAATTTAGCTTTCCTTTAAATATAGATAATGCATATCAAAAATAGTAATATCACAGTTACAGAATAAATATATACAGTACTTAATTTTCAAGCTCCACTAACTTGTCTGCTTTAAAAAAATTATCAAAATAGGGAAGGAACTGAATCTACATTTCATAAACTCTTAGAAATTTTTAATTAGATAAGTTTCCTCCAGTCCCATAACATAATGGGTGTTGGGATAAATATAACACTGTACTTTGTATTAGTGATAACACTTCCTGACTGGAGTCTTTGTTTCCCAAATTTTAATCTTTAGTATAGAAAAAAATTTGGATGAATTATGTAAATTATATATTCTTGAATAGTGAGGTTTGTTTTGTAATTTCTGATTGACTTTTTACTGCCAGTACTACATGATTCCACAACTTTCGCTTTTTCATATATGGCGTGTCAGTGTCCAGTTTAGGTTCAGTGGACTTTCAAGTCTCTGTGATTGGGAGGCTATTGAAACTAGTGAAATATCATTTGTTATACCTTGATTTTAAGAAACTGAATAGAACAATATTGCCAGCAATTTCAGATTCCCTCTTTGTACAGTACAGTGATCTGCAGTGCTATGATTCTCAGTGCTACATCTTTGAAACTCTATTCTAGGGAGCAGTAGAGTCAATTGCAATGAAGAAGCCCAAGGAGAGAACCCAGCTTTTTGAACAGATTAGTAATTCATGTGAGTTTGCTGAGGAATATGAGAGAAAGAAGAAGAAAATGCAACAGGCAGAGGGGGATGCGCAGTTTAATTATAACAAGAAAAAACATGTGGCAGTAGAACGCAAGCATGCAAAGTTAGAGAAAGAGGAGGTAATTCCAAAAATAACATAAAGGAGGTTTTCATATTTAAGAAAGCATATGGCATAGTGGTTGATCCTGCAAACTCTATTAGCATAGTGTGAGTTTATAGGATCAGAACCTTAGTAAAAGTACATAGAGCTTGGGTCAAACACTTCTAATACATTTAAAATAAATACATTTTCCTTGTTTTCTGTGGAAAGTGGTGGTTCTTTAAAAGTGTTTTTTGGTAAATGCTTTTCCACATAATGTGATTAATTTGTATAATCTGAAATACTTAACCAAAACAAAAAATCAGCAAGGAAGACACTACGTTTTCCTGTGGGACAGGATTAATAGTTAAGTATCTCCTGCCAATGTACATCGGTAGTATGTCGTTTCTGTATTTCTGCCCTTTTTGTACAGTTACTATGTGATGCAGTAGTGGCACTTACTGGGCAGAATGTTTAAAAATGGAAGAATAAACTTTGCATCCAAAAATACTTGGTCTCAGAAGGCTCAATCCTGCAACTTGCCAAACAATGATAGTGAGCTTTGTTCTGGAGGTGTGAAACTTATTGAAACCAAGCTAAATGTCTACATTCTTCTTTTCCCTGGAGTGTTCAGTGACCCTGTATTGCGAAGTTTGTTGCCTGAGTGCATGCATGAGAGAGAAAAAGCAGTTATGATTTACTGTTGGGTGGCATTCATAATATTCAACAGGAAATGGAGTTGAATATAATAGTTTCTAAGTATACTAGGTTCAGTAGTCATAAATATGTTTTTTAATGAAATAAATGACAATGTATTCTGCAGGACTGGCAATTCTTATAGTAACTACTGCATTATATGGCTGAGTTTTTTGTGATTGGCGCACTTTGCTGGAATCATAGTCACCAGTACTTTAGCTCATTTTACTCTGGACCTGAGATTAGACTGCTAGTGACTAAAAATTCTTTTTTAAACTGCAAATAAAAATTTGCTGTTTGTAGGCAGAGCGTTACCAGATGCTGCTTGAAGAGCTGAAAGAAAACAGGATACAGCTGCAACTTTTCCGACTTTATCACAATGAGAAAAAAATTGACTTTTTGAACAACAAATTGGATGAAAAGAACATGGATGTGAATACCAAGGAAGACTCCCTTTCTTCTGCTGAAGACACATTTAAAGCTAAGAAAAAAGTGCTTGGAATATTAAATAGAGACCAACAACACATGGAAAAAGAAATGAAGTAAGTTTTCCTATGATAGAACTGAACTGAGATTTTGAGAGTTAGTCTGCATTCTAAGTTACTCTTCAAAGTGTATTTCCTGATCAAGAGAGTGGGTGAAATTCTGACCCCATTGAAGTCAATGGGAGATTTCTAAAATAATAATCACTGTGTTACAGAATAAATATATATAATACTTAATTTTCAGCCACTTCATTTGTCACTATTCTCAATAAAACATTATACCTGTTCACTATAGCATTGTACTTCATGTTTAAACCTATATTTTTGGTTATATGTATCAAAATATGACCTTTGGACTGGAACATCTCATACTTGGTCCCCACCTAAAAGGTGATTTATTTATTTTTTAAATTAAATTATCTTGTTCCAGGCTGCATTTCTTGTTTCCCTAAAACACAGAGTTGACAAAAATGCATCTTTTTTCCCCCCCTAAAGAACCCTAGAAGCGTCATTGAATCAGAAAAGGCCTCAGTATATTAAAGCAAAGGAGAACACTTCTCACCAAATCAAGAAAGTAGATATGGCTAAGAAATCCTTAAAAGATAATGAGAAACACCTTGCTAAACAAGAGGAAAACATAAAAGAATTGGACACTGAGCTGACTGATGTTGAGAGAAGTTGGAGAGCATATGAAAAGAAGGTTGAAGAGGAGATGTTACAGAGAAGAGCAGATGTTGAGCTGGAAGCAAGTCAAGTGAGTTGTTGTAGGGGGGAAGTACTAGACTGAGTGAAATCCTGGCTCTGTTAAAGCTAATGGGAGTTTGCCATTGACTTCAGTGGGACCATGATTTCATCCATTGTTTTCAAAGAGTGGTTACAAATCCAATTTGACTTAGCTCTTTTTTCCTTGCAATTTAGTCTATCTGTCCAATAGGATGAGGAGAAATGGTGATATTGCCTTTATTTTTCATCTCTTACAGGTTTATCCTGGAAGCCAACAGACTTAAAATCTATGTCAATTTGTACATAAAAACATCTGATACCTGTATTTCTTCTATATGGAGAAATAAATTGTAACATCCCATCGGTTTATTTTTAGCTTACAGTGTGAGCAGTTGCGGTTTGCTAAGTGGTCACAGTTAGCCCAGAATATGATTAGCAACACCATGATTGGGCCTCCTTCCTAGAAGGACAAAATGAGGCTCTACTGTGGTGGCTTAACATAACAAGATTTTTCTTTAATGTTCTTGAGGCTCCTTGTGCTGCATGTAAAATAGCTCTGCCAACTACATGTGCCTGAGCTTAATATAGTTTTTTAACCAGCAAACAGCTGGGATGGATTAAAATTTTTTTTTATAGAACTGATGAAATGATTTAAGGAGGACAATTCAAGCCTCCCAGAAGTTCTAGAGAAAGAGAGCAGTTTTGAGGAGTAAACTTAAGACAGGGGGGTTTCAAAGTTAACCTTTTAAGATGGTTGGAGGTGGTGTATTACTTCTCTTTAATGTGTGAATCATATCCTTTCCAAAGCAATAATGAAAGACTCTCTTCTAGTCGAATCAGTGAAGTTCCAGTGCACAATAGTGAGAGGAGGATTTAGGAGAGCCTAGTCAAGGCATGTGCAGCACCTGTCTGTTTTAAACCCAATCTCCACGGGGTTCCTTGTGAACTGGGGCTGTGGGTCTACAGCATCATGGATCCATTGGTTTTTACTGGGAGCACAAACCGTACATGTGAGGATAGGATAGTAACCATGGAGCAGCTCTTTCGCTGTCAAGGGGCTATGAGGTGGTGTAAGGAAGGAGGTCTTTACCAAACAACTTCCCAGCACACAGCCCAATTGCTACAGATAAGATCAGTTCACAGTTCTGATATAAAGCTGTTTCAGGAAGACATCCCTGCATAATTTTCCAGTTAGTTCACATCGGGAAAACTATTTCTGCAACCATTAGACCTAGAAACTCTTTCAATTTATTTTATTGTACATTAAATTCTGCATAACCTGATGGGTAAGTTTCCTTCCTATTATCCCTGTAGTTTGGGGCAACCCTGTAAATTATGCCCAGGAGGAGTGAGTGGAGGAGTTCCAACTCCTCATTACTGTAGAGATTTGTCAACCTTAGGCATAATTTATAGGGTTGCCCCAAACATAAACCCTTCTGTATACCTCTACAAATGTGCTCCTTGGAGGCTTCCCACATATCAAAATAACTGTTATTCTTAAGAATAATTCCTTTACTTTTGGGCCACTCAGCATCTAGATGATGTCTTGATCCTCTCCTTTTTTCAGAAATATTTATGGAAGCTTTAGTTTGCCTAATCACTTATTTAAAACAAAACTCTAAACTAGACTGTAGGCAAGAAAAAAACAGGAAAATAAAGTTTGAAGTTGTATCTTTCATGGCATCTGATTGTAAGTTACTATCCAGTTATGGAGCCAAGTATTGGCAATCTGTAGTTTTGATAAGGTTGTTAATTTGCTAGTTAAGCACATAATGCAGTGAAAATTTCCCTTTATGTTTAAGGGCAGGAGTAATATTTGAATCTGTTTGTACAGCTGGATCGGTATAAAGAGCTAAAAGAACTAGCGAGAAAGAAAGTAGCTACATTGACCCAGCAACTAGAAAAACTGCAGTGGGAACAAAAAGCAGATCTAGAAAGGATGACATTTGATGAGAGGAAGCAAAAAGAAATTGAGGTACTGAGATGGAATTTAATTTTAGTGGGGAAAAGAAACCCTGTCTCTCTTTGTCTAATACTTGTCCTTCCCTGTCATTATAAATTTTAGTATAATTGTACTGAATACATTCTTTATCAAAAAACACTTCAACCTTGATACAATGCATATGTTTGGGCTTCTCCTCTGACAGACCTACTGCCACATGGCTGGCTCTTTATTCTTCAAAAATTACTTTACATATCTCTTCTAGGATGTGGCTTAGTGAAAGCCTGCTTACAGTATAAACATCCAGATCTGCAATTATAAGGGTATGTCTACACTACGAAATTAGGTCGATTTTATAGAAGTCGATTTTTAGAAATCGATTTTATACAGTCAATTGCGTATGTCCCCACTAAGTGCATGAAGTCGACAGAGTGTGTCCTCACTACCGTGGCTAGCATCGACTTATGGAGCGGTGCACTGTGGGTAGCTATCCGACAGTTCCCGCAGTCTCCGCTGCCCATTGGAATTCTGGGTTAAGCTCCCAATGCCTGATGGGGCAAAAACATTGTCGTGGATGGTTTTGGGTACATGTCATCAGTCACCCCTTCCTCTGTGAAAGCAATGGCAGACAATCGTTTTGCGCCTTTTTTCCATGCAGACGCCATACTACGGCAAGCATGGAGCCCGCTCAGCTCACCGTCACCGGTGCTGTCGTGTCCTGGGTGCTGTTGTCAGCAGACGGTGCAGTAGGACTGCTAACGGTCGTCACCCACCGCTTCCGCTGCAACTCTGCTCTCCTGGTGCCATGAATGCACCTTGCAGGTCCTCTCGTCGTTCTGTATAAATATCTATTCTCATGGCATCCGTTGTCATCCCCGCTTCCGCTGCAACTCTGCTCTCCTGCAGACGCCATACCACAGCAAGCATGGAGTCCGCTCAGCTCACTACTGCTGTTTGTGAGCATTGTATACACCTCGCGCATTATCCTGCAGTATGTGCAGAACCTGCAAAAGCAGGCGAGGAGGCGACGACAGCACGATCACAATAGCGATGAGGACATGGACACAGACTTCTCTCAAAGCACGGGCCCTGGCAATTTGGACATCATGGTGGTAATGGGACAGGTTCCTGCCGTTCAACGCCGATTCTGGGCCCGGGAAACAAGCATAGACTGGTGGGACCGCATAGTGTTGTAGGTCTGGGATGATTCCCAGTGGCTGCAAAACTTTCGCATGCATAGGGGCACTTTCATGGAATTTTGTGATTTGCTTTCCCCTGTCCTGAAGCGCAAGAATACCAAGATGAGAGTAGCTCTCACAGTTGAGAAGCAAGTGGCGATAGCCCTCTGGAAGCTTGCAACGCCAGACAGCTACTGGTCAGTCGGGAATCAATTTGGAGTGGGTAAATATACTGTGGGGGCTGCTGTGATCCAAGTAGCCAACGCAATCACTGAGCTGCTGCTATCAAGGGTAGTAACTCTGGGAAATGTGCAGGTCATAGTGGATGGCTTTGCTGCAATGGGGTTCCCTAACTGTGGTGGGGCGATAGACGGAACGCATATCCCTATCTTGGGACCGGACCACCTTGGCAGCCAGTACGTAAACCGCAAGGGGTACTTTTAAATGGTGCTGCAAGCACTGGTGGATCACAAGGGACGTTTCACCGACATCAGTGTGGGATGGCCGGGAAAGGTGCATGACGCTTGCATCTTCAGGAACTCTGGTCTGTTTGAACAGGCGCAGGAAGGAACTTATTCCCAGACCAGAAAATTACCGTTGGGGATGTTGAAATACCTATAGTTATCCTTGGGGACCCAGCCTACCCCTTGCTCCCATGGCTCATGAAGCCATACACAGGCACCCTGGACAGTAATAAGGAGCAGTTCAACTATAGGCTGAGCAAGAGCAGAATGGTGGTAGAATGTGCATTTGGACGTTTAAAAGCTTGCTGGTGCAGTTTACTGACTAGGTTAGACCTCAGCGAAACCAATATTCCCATTGTTATTGCTGCTTGCTGTGTGTGCCACAATATCTGTGAGAGTAAGGGGGAGACATTTATGGTGGGCTGGGAGGTTGAGGCAAATTGTCTGGCGGCTGATTACGCGCAGCCAGACACCGGGGCGATTAGAAGAGCACAGCTGGCCGCCCTGCGCATCAGAGAAGCTTTGAAAACCAGTTTCATGACTGGCCAGGCTACGGTGTGACAGTTCTTTTTGTTTCTCCTTGATGAAAACCCGCCCCCTTGATTGACTCTACTTCCCTGTACGCCAACAGATCTCCCACCTTCGATCACTGCTTTCAGAGGCAATAAAGTCATTTATTGTTTCAAAATCATGCATTCTTTATTAATTCATCACACACATAGGGGGAACACTCGCAAGGTAGCTCGGGAGGGGTGGGTCAGGAGGGAAGCACTGGGTGGGGTGGTAGAGGAGGGAAGGACAAGGCCACACTACAGTTCAAAGCACCTGTCTGGTAAACAGGAGATACTGGGTTCAACTCCCAGTGGTGCCTTGTTGTACGGCTTTTTTGTGCGGGAGGGATAGCTCAGTGGTTTGAGCATTGGCCTGCTAAACCCTGGATTATGAGTTCAATCCTTGAGGAGGACATTTAGGGATTTGGGGCAAAAATCTGTCTGGAGATTGGTCCTGGTTTGAGCAGGGGGTTGGACTAGATGACCTCCCTGAGGTTCCTTCCAACCCTGACATTCTAAAAAAAGGCAAAAAACTTATTGAATGCTTAGCCTTCTTTTGCTTGGGCAATCCGCTGGGGTGGAGTGGCTGGGTGCCTGTAGCCTCCCCCCAACTGCGTGGCTAGTATCAGGGAAGATTCCTGTCAGCCAAACGCGAACAGCTCAGCATGAATGGGCCTCCCCCCACCGCGTGGCTAACAGTGGGGATGATTTCTTTTCAGCCAAAGACAAACAGCCCAGCAGGAACGGGCACCTCTGAATGTCCCCTTAAACAAATTTCTCGTATTTCAACGAGGTCACCATGAATGATATCACTCTCCTGAGGTTAACACAGAGAGATAAAGAACGGATGTTGCTTGAATGCCAGCAAAGCCCGGGCCCATTCGCTGCAATGCTTTGTTCTGCAATGATTCCAGACTACTTGCTACTGGCTTGGCGTGGTAAAGTGTCCTACCATGGAGGATGGAATAAGGCTGCCCTCCCCAGAAACCTTCTGCAAAGGCTTTTAGAGTAGCTCCAAGAGAGCTTCATGGAGATGTCCCTGGAAGATTTCCGCTCCATCCCCAGACATGTTAACAGACTTTTCCAGTAGCTATACTGGCCGCAAATGCATCCCAAGTCTTCAGGGCAAATTAATCATTAAACACGCTTGCTTTTAAACCTTGTATTATATTTACAAAGGTACACTCACCAGAGGTGCCTTCTCCGGCTTCATGGTCCGGGAGCCCACCTTGAGAGGGTTGGGAGGGTATTGGCTCCAGGATGATGAACAGTTCCTGGCTGCCGGGGAGAAGGGATTCTCCGCTTGCCTGCTGTGCACTATCCTCAACCTCCTCATCTTCCTCATCCACAAAATCCTCATCCCTGTTGCGTGAGTCTCTCCCCTTGCAGGTGACCACGGACAGTGGTGGGGTAGTGGTAGGGGCCCCCCCTAGAATTGCATGCAGCTCATCATAGAAGTGGCATGTATGGGGCTCTGACCTGGAGTGATCGTTTGCCTCCTTTGTTTTTTGATAGGCTTGCCTGGGCTCCTTAATTTTCATGCGGCACTGCTGTGTGTCCCTGTCGTAGCCTCTGTCCATCATGCCCTTGGAGATTTTGGCATATATATTGGCATTTCGTCTTTTGGAACGGAGTTCTGCCTGCACGGATTCTTCTCCCCATACAGAAATCAGATCTAGTACCTCCCGTTCGGTCCATGCTGAAGCTCTTTTGCGATTCTGGGACTGCATGGTCACCTGTGCTGATGAGCTCTGCATGGTCACCTGTGCTGATCAGCTCGCCACGCTGGCCAAACAGGAAATGAAATTCAAAAGTTCCCGGGGCTTTTCCTGTCTACCTGGCCAGTGCATCTGAGTTGAGAGTGCTGTCCAGAGCAGTCACAATGGAGCACTCTGGGATAGCTCCCAGAGGCCAATACCGTCTAATTGCGTCCACACTACCCCAAATTCGACCCAGCGAGGTCGATTTTAGCGCTAAACCCCTCGCTGGGGAGGAGTACAGAAATAGATTTTAAGAGCCCTTTAAGTAGACAAAACAGGCTTGGTCGTGTGGACAGGTGCAGGATTAAATCGACCTAACGCTGCTAAATTCAACCTAAACTCGTAGTGTAGACCAGGGCTAAGAGTGAGATAGATACACACTGTCCTCAGTTCCTTCTTACTATGACAACTGTAGTGTTCGGACTCTGCAGTATCAATGGTGTGTCTTGTCAGCTCTTTCCTTTTTCCATTGTAGTTAGCTTTCCACCTGGATATTGTTGTGGCTGATTTTTGTGTTCTTGGGATCAGGACAATTTTTTGGTTTCCTGCCTGCTTTTGGAATTCGGCTCCAGGGTGTGGATTTTGTGCCAACTGCATAGACAGAAAAGTGAACATTTCTGGTTCCTTATAGCATTGACTTATGACAGATCCGAACAAGAAGTGTCATGTGACAATAAAATATTTACATTGCACCAGAGCGCTTGCCGTTTTCTCTCTTCGGAAGAAGATGAGTGTCCTGCCCAGGGTTCATTCTGTGTGACCTTTATACCTGGAGACAGAAAGGACAGAGTCCCATTTTAAAGGCTTGCCTTTCCCTGGAAACATCGCTGCAGTTGGGATTTGAGGGTTTTTTTTCCCAACTCCCTGTGAAAATCTTGTAGTTTTATCAACTACTATGAAGTGCAGAGTCAGCTGGATGTGGGCTTCTTCATCTTTTGACATTGAGAGAAGGTGTGGATGGATCTTCATATATATTCAGAATACTTCAAAATGGATGAGACTTTCTCAGTGGACATACCAGTTTGCTCATGTTCCAGGGTTGGACGGTGTAAGGGCTCATATCTAACACTGCTTTTTTGGTGCACGCTGTTTCCTTGGCATAGATTTCCAAAGTAGTTGCTTGGATTGCTAATCATCCACAGATACCTTTTTCAGAAGAGCAGTTCAACAGTCGTTTTTAAAATTAGAATTCTTCCAACTGTGTTTGCACCCAGGAAGGGTACTGCTTTTAATCTTCCACAAGTGAGAATATATAGAGGCAATTCTCTAAGTAGAAATGTTACTTACATGTAGCTATTTTTAGAGTAAAACGACTTTTAGATACTGCACTCTCTTCTCACTATCCCCACTTCTTTGGAAATCTGATTGGTCTCCTTTACTTAGGCCTGGTCCACACTAACCCCCCACTTTGGACTAAGGTACGCAAATTCAGCTACATTAATAACGTAGCTGAATTCGAAGTACCTTAGTCCGAACTTACCCCGGGTCCAGATGCGGCAGGCAGGCTCCCCCGTCGATGCTGCGTACTCCTCTCGCCGAGCTGGAGTACTGACGGCGAGCACTTCCAGGATCGATCCCAGAAGATTGATTGCCTGCCGCCGAACCAGGAAGTAAGTGTAGACGTACCCGTAGTGAATGAAAGGAAATGAAAGAAGCTGAAGCTGTCTCTCTCTTATCAACTCATATCTGAACATTTGGAGATGTCCATATCCACGCTTAAAAATTTGAGGGAAAGAAGACACATAGTAATACTCTAGAGTTCTTTCTGGAATTTCACATAAACAGAATTCCAGTAAAAATTATTACCATAAAATGGAACTAATGCAACTCCGTGTCCCTGAATTGTTCTGAGCTTTGAAACAATTTTCTTACCCATTATAAATAGAATGCAATGGTATGTTTGAATAACTTTCCTCCATTTTCTTAGCTATTAATCAGAACAGCACAACTGCGTTTCACAGGGTGAACATATTTTCATTTTCTTCTTCTTTTTTTTAAAGAGACAGTTTTACAGCCGATGTCTGCTTCATGTTTTTTAATATTTGAAACAACTAGATGGAACACGGTATGGTTACAAATAATAAAATATTCATTTCCTTACCTACTTTATTGATTCAGATAAAGGAAAGTGAAGGAATTTGAAATCTAATTTCCCTGTCACTATATACTGGACACTTTTTGTTTTAATTTTTGTACTTTATTCAGTTTGGACAGTGAAAAAAGACTAGTAATTTCACTTGCTGGTTCATATTCACTAGTACAATGCTGTGATGTTGGGTTTCAAATTCTGTAGAGGGACACTTAATTTTAAAATCTGAAGTATTTATAAAACAAAGAAAGCAAGTCTATTAGCAGATTTTATAAAACTTTTACATTTGTTTTAAATCCTAAACTTTGGTATTTAACTAAATGTTAAAAGGGTATTACCAAGTAGTATTTATGAAAGTGTCAAGATCCATTCACATTGAAGAATCTCTGTACTAATTGGCTTGAAAACAATAGTGTAGATTTGGTAGATATAGTATATTATTCACATGGGAAATATCTATCAACTAAATATGCAAAGTGGTATGCTGTGACTTGACTTCAATGGATATTTCATGGTTAAGGTTAGCCACATAGCTAAATATCAGTGCCCCACTCTGAAAATGTAGTGATATATAGTATTAGAAAATTGGCTTTAGAATTGTTTAATTTTGTAAATTGCATCCTATTTATGGTTGTTTAGGAAAGTATAAAGCAAGTTGTGGAACAGATAGAAGACCACAAAAAACGAATTGAGAAGTTGGAGGACTATACCAAGTCATGCACGTATGTTTGTTTTTTAAATATATTAAAATAAATTGCAGTTCAGACACTTTACATATTATAAAAAAAATTGTTGAAAACCTGCCTTTTTAAGGTGTATTTTTAAATGTAAGAGTAATATTTCTTGCATTAAATCCTTTTATTTGTCCTTAGTTGTAATTTTTCAATAATGTTGGGTGTTGAAATCGGAATCAGAGGGGAGAGTCATCCAAGACAGATTCTGCTGTCCTCCCAGATGTTACTTCACACATTTTTTTTGTTTTTTGTGATTGCTTCCTCTCCCTCATAAGTATATGAGGATCGTGTCTTCATTATGGACTAGATTCTGGATTTACCACAAGGTTTGAATAAAAGGGCAGAATGCAGCTTAGTCGTTTTGCTGCCCTGGAAGCAGAATAGAGGCCAGATTGTGAATTAGTCACAGTTTATTCCCTGGTCCATATCTTCCTCCTGCCCCTGTTTTGAGTATGCAGAGTAGCTGCACCATCTCTTTTCCTGTCACATATTACTTCCCCCTTCACACTGGCTCAGCTGTGCTGGCTTGTACTTGGATGGATCAGAGGTCTGCCATGGAGGGGGAGCTGCAACCCAGCAGAGGGATGTTGTGACCCACAATGCACAGGTGAGCAAGGGAGTACCTTATGCCCTGTGCACGTGTGTAAAGTGGGACATGATTTTGCCATAGACTTTTCAGATCATTTTAGCAAAACTGTAAATTATATTGATTCACGGTCATGTTATGCCCTCTGTGTGCATGTATTTGAGAGCAGATTTTGGACTCAATTTAGAAACATTTATATTACTGCTTCCAACCATGTGAGTTGTGTGGCTAAATCCCTATGTAACTTGCTGAAAAAATCCTGTGAATAACCAGGAAAATAAATAGAAGCTTTTTTTTATTTATTTGAAAAACATGCATCTAAAGGAAAGCCAAAAAGTATTTGGTTTAACTTCTGTAACGTAGTGGTCACGTATGCCCGGTGTCTGGTCTTTTTAGAACAGCTGAACAAATATTCGGTTAACCACTTAAATTTTAGCAAAAGATGACATTGTATAGATATCAAATCTTCTAAATGGCAGCAGTTCAACTTGTTTGTTAGTAAAATCTGTTATTTCATCATTTGACTTTCATGCATCAAAATCTTGTTTCCATATAAAGATTTTGAGTTCAGCCCAGAGGCTCACACCTGTGGAATAAAATCACTCTACTCATAAAATTAATGAAAAGTTAAGACAATATAATTGGGATACATTTTTCTCACATCTTCCCTTATTTTGGTTTAAAGTGAATTGTTAGCAGAGAAAAAACAACAGGAGAAGGTCCTAACTGATGAAATGGAGAATTCAAGGGTACAGATAGCTCAAGTAAATGAAGAACTAAACAAAATAGTTGGTGAGCTGCAGAATGCTAGAATTGACTACCATGAAGGAAGACGCCAGCAAATGAGAGCAGAGATACTGGAGAGTCTCAAAAGACTTTATCCTGATTCTGTGGTAATTGGATGGATTTATTTGCATTTTTGTGGTTATAATTAGATTTGAGATTTGCATTTGCAGTTGTGGTATATGTGGCAGCCTGGGACTTTCTGTGGCCATCTGGAATATATTTTAACTTTCACTCTACACCTCTACCTCAATATAACACGACCCGATATAACGCAAATTCGGATATAACGCGGTAAAGCAGTGCTCCGGGGGGCGGGGCTGCGCACTCCGGTGGATCAAAGCAAGTTCAATATAACGCGGTTTCACGTATAACGTGGTAAGATTTTTTGGCTCCCGAGGACAGCGTTATATCGAGGTAGAGGTGTATTTTATGTATTCTAGGAACACTTGTAAATGGGAATGACAATGCAAATTTTGTACTACAAAAGAACAGTAAATTTATTAAATTCAATCTTTGTGAATTTAAAGAATTAAGTGATTGAACTGACACCAACCTTCAGATTATGAAAGTTTAAAAATTAGTTTATATTAGTAGTAAACTTATGTTACTTTTTTGTGACATTGATAAGCATGCTATTCATTCATGACTTTATTTTTACAAATTTCAAATGGGAGTATCAATGTAAAAATTAGAATGATTAAAATTAAGAGCAGCAGTGGCATTTCTTGGCTGAGCTAGAGTTTCATAGTGTGGTAGGATGACAGAACTGCAGAGCATTTTACTATAAGGTTGTGCTAGTGTATATGTGTGTATATTTTATTAGAAGTGGGAATGCAATTTTTTTTTAACTGCGAGGAACTTCAGTTTCAGATTATCCACTATGGTAAATTGTGTGACAAAGTTCCTCCTCTATCTTGGTGGGTCCTGTGATTACTGGCGGATTTTCTTGCCTCAGAGATTCACCATGTGGGTTGGGGAACAGCCCAGAGTCCTTCCCCTCTGGAAGAACCTACAGTCCAGGTCAATTGGGAGGTTTGGGGGGAACCCGGGCCCACCCTCTACTCCGGGTTCCAGCCCAGGGCCCTGTGGACTGCCACTGTCTATAGTGCCTCCTGTAACAGCTGCATGACAGCTACAACTCCCTGGGCTACTTCCCCATGGCCTCCTCCAAACACCTTCCTTATTCTCACCACAGGACCTTCCTCCTGGTGTCTGATAACGCTTGTGCTCCTCAGTCCTCCAGCAGCACACCCTCTCACTCTCAGTTCCTTGCGCCTCTTGCTCCCAGCTCCTCATACTCGCACCACAAACTGAAGTGAGCTCCTTTTAAAACCCAGGTGCCCTGATTAGCCTGCCTTAATTGATTCTAGTAGCTTCTTCTTAATTGGCTCCAGGTGTCCTAATTAGCCTGCCTGCCTTAACTGGTTCTAGCAGGTTCCTGATTACTCTAGTACAGCCCCTGCTCTGGTCACTCAGGGGACAGAAAACTACTCATCCAGTGACCAGTATATTTGCCCTCTACTAGACTCCTGTACCCCACTGGTCTGGGTATGTCACAATTGTTAAACAGTATGTTTACTTCACTGATACTAAAAATAATTGATAACATTTAGGCTTGTGTGTAAGATGTGATATACATGGGTTGTAGTCTTATTTTAGAGGATACAATAACATTCAGAGCTGTCAGTCAAGATCCAGATTGCTTAAGCTTCTCCCATTTTTGCCACCAGAAAGCTATACTTTGGCCTGAAATGTATATGGCTTTATTAATTGCTTCCTCATCTGTGAAAGATTTATCATTTCTCAATTTTGTTATCTTAAGTTTGGAAGACTGCTTGACTTGTGTCATCCTATCCATAAAAAATATCAGCTGGCTGTTACCAAAGTCTTCGGCAAGTACATGAGTGCCATTGTTGTGGCTACTGAAAAAATAGCAAGGGATTGCATTCGATTCCTAAAGGAGGAAAGAGCTGAGCCTGAAACATTTCTTGCTTTGGATTACCTTGATGTAAGTTTTTTCTTTTCATCAGCAAATTCAGTTTTAAGATTGCTTAAGGTAGAATTTAAGTTGTATATGGATATATAAAATGTAAGTGTTTAAGCATAAATAAAGCTATTGTAGAGACATTATATGCCTCAAAAGGTTCTTGACTGCTATAAAAACTAAAACCCTTTCCTTTTCTGCACTGTGTACTTAAGACCCTTTATTGTAATTCTGTCCCTTGGGGTATGTCTGTACTTACCGCCAGACCCAGAGGTAAGCAATCGATCTTCTGGGATCGATCCCGGAAGTGCTCGCCGTCGACGCCGGTACTCCTGCTCCGCGAGAGGAGTACGCGGAGTCGACGGGGAAGCCTGCCTGCCACGTCTGGACCCGCGGTAAGTTCGAACTAAGGTACTTCAACTTCAGCTACGTTATTGACGTAGCTGAAGTTGCGTATCTTAGTTCGAAGTGGGGGGTTAGTGTGGACCAGGCCCTAGTTGCTCCTCCTCATGTAACTGGTTTTACTGGCTTCAGTATGTATTAAATCATGCTTTTATAAACTAGTTCCTTAAGCCATATAGTAAAATGGATCTGTCCCTAAACTTGTAGCATTTCAGAGAAAACTACTATAGAGGCCTGCAATTCAGACTTGTCCCCCAGGCCATCCATAGTTTAATATTCTGTCCCAATATGGAAATTTGTTTGCGTTGTAGTTTGGCCCCTGAAAGAGCTGAGATACAAAGGTCTGCTATATTTTGAGAAAACATTTCTAGCCTCTTTTTGTATTTACTAATAACATTTTAACAAATTCAGCCTATTGGAAACCGATTTATTCTATAGATAGAATACTTTACTTCTGAAAAAACAACAAGGAGTCCGGTGGTACCTTAAAGATCTATGACAGAATCATTGTTCCCATGTTAAAATTGAAAACCTGTTATTTTGCCTTTTAAATTTGATATAAGCAATCACTATTCTAGGCACTGATTCAGGAAAGCAATTATGTGTTTTGCTCAATAGAGATGGATTTAAGCACATGCTTATATATGCTTAAGTGCTGTCCTGATTATGGATGTTTTCTTGAATCGAAGTCCTAATGTTTTTACATAAATCCTAGCATCTTTGATTGTAGATTTTTAATGTTACTTTAATGCATGTTTTGTCCAGTTTTTATTTACTTTAATAAATGTAAATTTTGTCTTGTCAGAAGGCACAAGTATGAGCGAAAATATGGATGTTTGTTGTTAATTTTATTCATACAGTATACTATCCCACCAAAGTACTTGTATCACATTACGACAGGTTTCAGAGTAGCAGCCGTGTTAGTCTGTATCCGCAAAAAGAACAGGAGTACTTGTGGCACCTAGAGACTAACAAATTTATTTGATCCTAAGCTTTCGTGGGCTGCAGCCCACTTCTTCGGATGCATAGAATGGAACATATATACACACACATACAGAGAGCATGAAAAGGTGGGAGTTGTCTTACCAACTCTGAGAGGCCAATTAAGTAAGAGGAAAAAAAACTTCTGAAGTGATAATCAAGATAGCCCAGTACAGACAGTTTGATAAGAAGTGTGAGAATACTTACAAGGGGAGAGAGATTCAATGTTTGTAATGGCTCAGCCATTCCCAGTCCCTATTCAAGCCTAAATTGATTGTATCTAGTTTGCATATCAATTCCAGCTCAGCAGTTTCTCGTTGGAGTCTGTTTTTGAAGCTTTTCTGTTGCAAAATTGCCACCCACAGGTCTGTCACTGAATGACCAGACAGGTTAAAGTGTCCTCCTACTGGTTTTTGAGCGTTATGATTCCTGATGTCAGATTTGTGTCCATTAATTCTTTTGCGTAGAGACTGTCCGGTTTGGCCAATCACATTATTTCAGCTACTTCTCCAGAAGATTGTTTTTGCTTTTTAGATTAAGCCCATCAATGAAAAATTAAGGGAGATAAAAGGATCTAAAATGATGATTGATGTTGTACAGACTCCATTTACACCCCTGAAAAAAGTGATTCAGTTTGTATGTGGGAATGGTCTGGTCTGTGAAACTGTTAAAGAAGCAAGACAGATAGCATTTGATGGACCAGTGAGGTTGAAAGTAAGAAACTGAATTTTGTTTCATATGTTTTTTTCATCATGTGGATTGCAATGATATGTTTAATACCATTTGAAATAACTTGTTATATAAATATCCTACAAAATATGACTTAACTAAAAACTGTCGTTATATTGCTCCTGCCAACTTACACAGAAAGAAACTAAATTCCCTGAAATTTCACATAACTCCTCTCTTTCCAGTGTGGAATTTTTCTGGGAAGCTCGGAGGGAAAAAGTTAGAAAAGGACTCTTTTGCAAATGCTCCTTTTATTCCTTTTGCTTGTTATATTTAAAATGTTTGGCTGAGAAACATAAAATCTGTTTTATTGGCTTTCATGCAGAGAAGTGCCTTCATATGTTCTTGAGGGTTTTCTGTGTGAGCATGTGTGGGAGGTGCAGGCAAAAGTTTGCACTATGGTTGAAAGTCTCCCTACTTCATTCTGCAGTTCCTCTTCACTGACGATTATACACCACGATGGTACATGGGGGTAGCTCCCTGTCACGTACCTTCTGAAGACTTGTTAAAGTCTACAGAATGGGAGCCCTGCTTTGATAGTCTACGTTAAATCTTTTGAAACAACACTTTCTTCCTGTGGACCTTCTGTACCAGTCTGATTTAAATTTTTGTTGCTCATTCAAAAACAAGAATAATCCTAAACAAAAACAATCTTTAAGTAGTTTTGAGTTGAAAAATGAAGATGGAAAGTATGTTTCACTTGTTATCCAGCTGACACCCAAAAATAAGTATACTTTTTTAAACTAAATTTTTACAATTTTTAAAGACCCAACTTTTAGAATATCTGAAAATGAACAATTAAGGGTTCCAACCATGTAAATATAAAATGTATAAAAATCCCATTTCCAGTTCATGGGATTAATTTCCAATAGGCTATAATGCTAATTTATATTAAAACATTACTTACTGCAAAATAACACTACTTGTGTCAGTTACATACTTCTGTAGCTTGCTCAGTATACCTCTGTGTAAGCAAGGGTTTTGGGACATGGTCCAACTAAGTATGGAGGTTACTTATATTTATGTCGTTACATGCGCTTGTTTGCTCAGATCTTGGTCCATTAGCTGCTAGAGTATTGCAGATGTACAATTCCTAACCCAACTTAGTAGTAGTGTTCATTAAAGAAATGAAAATGTCTTTAATTTTCAGACAGTCTCTCTTGATGGAACTTTATTTTTGAAATCTGGAGTTATCTCTGGAGGGTCAAGTGACTTGAAATTTAAAGCTAGATACTGGGATGAAAAAGAGATGAAAGAAATGAAAGAAAGAAGGGATAGGTTGGTTAATGAACTAAAGGTAAGTCCATTAAATAGGCAATTAGATCTTAACACTAAAGGCAAAAATGGAATAAAAGTCATGAATGGGAAGACAGTCTGAGGAACTGTTCAGTTTTTGTCAACTTTTAATTTCAAGTTAATTTATTTCATTCCTGATAATTTTATTTTTAATGCAGGATGGGGGTGGTGGAACTAGTAGTGGCTTGTTGGTCGGAAGTACTGCCTGCCTGATAACTTTGTTCCAAGAGGGAATGCAGTGTGACTGCATGCAGCTGAGCCATTCATTTATTTATCTGTAACCCACACTAACAGTGTAGTTTTGTTTCCCCATCTAGTGGCTAGTTTTACTATTTCTGGGGAGATGAGACCAAGCTATTCTCTGTGTGGATTACATAGATGGAGAACTGCCTAACTGTTAAGAGCTAGTTTTGCTATAGAAAGTGTTGTGGTATGGTAGGAGCACTTCGTGTCTTTCATCAGAGAAGCTGTTTGAGGCATTGCTATAGTCAAGTGACTAGTGAGAATAAAATTATTGGCATGCAACAGAGAGCAATCTTTCATGAACTGTGACTGTAAAACTTGGTTTCATAGCTTCCCTATAGATTTTGTTGAGAGGACCAGAGCAGTAATTTATCAATTTATGCCCTTTTACACTAGAAAGTGAACCAGTGTTTGAAAAGCATTTTCGAATATACCCCACACCATCAAAACTTAACTCAATTGTGGTCAGCTGGCCCACGTAGATGGGGCTTAACTGTGCTAAATTTGTCTAATTAGACACCCTGTTAAATGGAAGTCAGATTATGATCATAAAGAATTTTTTCTGGCCTGTGAATAGAGCAATTTACTTTTGAGTATGAAGTTGACTTCTGTTTTTTAAAACATACTTTTTATGTATATTTTCTCATACAATTTTTGAAATCTGTTTTAGGAATTAATGAAGATCAAACGTAAGGAGACTGACTTGAAACAGTTACAGGCACAGTGCCAGGGAACTCAGACTCGGCTCAAATATTCGCAGAGCGAATTAGAGAATATTAAAAAGAAACACCTTGCTAATTTCTACAAGGTAGTACAGAATAACAAAGCTCCTATTTTTTCCTCTGGTTTTTGTGATCTTGGGTTATAATTTTTATGCTTAATAAACATTGTAGCTAATACTCAATACAAGCTTAGTAGATCTTATATTAATCTTCTTTGTGTAGTTGTTGGAATTATATTTAGCAAATAGTGGTTATGATTAGAGAATTAATAAAATTAGAGAACAAGATTAAGTACTATATTAAAGCAATGAGGCTTTCCTTTAGGTGTTGTTACTGGTGTAAAAAAAATGAATTTGACACTCAGCTAAACTTGATACATAGTAGCCCCCCCAAAAAAGATGCATGAGTCAGTAAGTCTTAGCTGGTACATTTATTTGTAATATGTAATTTGCTTTCCATTCTATAGAATTGCAGCCATTACACTTAAATCAACAATAGTGATTTCAGAAAAAAAGTTGTAACTTCTTAACTCAACACAAGATAAATAGCCATAGTGTCAGAAGCATCTATTAATAGTTAGAATATCTTTCATTTTGTTTAAAGAAACCAATAAAAATATTTATTTCCTTCTTCCTCTTTGTAATTAGGAAAAATCTAAGCTGGAAAGTGAGTTAGTAAATATTAAATCACAATACGCTATGCTGAATGAAGGACTTTTACAAAGAACAGAGAAAATTGAAGAGTTTCAAAAGAAAATGAATGAGGTAACACATTCTATAATGTTCATGACAAATTATGGAGTTATAAATGGCTTACAGCAACTTCTCTGTAGGGTTGAGAGTGAACCCATGCAATTATTAAACCTTTAGTGTCTGAACAGTAGCTATAGTCTATAGATGTGCTAAAGCACTCCAGGGAACATGCAGCATGCTATACTATTCTACCAGTGATGATATCCTAAAAATTAAAATATTTTAATATGCGTGTTCCAACATCCCATGTTATCAGTTCGTAACCTTAAAATACTGAATCATTTTTATTCAAACCAGAATTTTGTGCTCCCTAAGAGACTAATGTAGAACAAAACAAAACTAATTTGCAGTTTCAAGTTTCAGGTGGCCTTTTTTCATTTACATAAACACTACAGTTTTATTTGGAATAAGGAGGGGGAAATTTCCTCTGCTCAAGTAACTTTAAAAATATGCTGAAGCAATTTTGCTGAGACTCAAGAAAATATTCACTTTGGAACTGAGACAAAATGTAGAAGGTTTCAATCCAAAGGGAATTACTTTATTAAAGGAATATTAAAACAGAAACTGGAATTCAAGCTTAACTGTAGTGTTTGCCACCATGAAGAAAATACTCTCTATATATCAGAATTCATGGTGGTATAATATAAAGGTTTTATTTGCATCCATTTGAGATTATTGCAATGCTCACACATGTCTCTGTGAATCATCTCAACCCTTTGTCACACCATAAAATTAAGTATCAGAGGGGTAGCAGTGTTAGTCTGAATCCTGTAAAAAGCGACAAAGAGTCCTGTGGCACCTTATAGACTAACAGACGTATTGGAGCATAAGCTTTTGTGGGTGAATACCCACTTCGACCTGCATCTGATGAAGTGGGTATTCACCCACGAAAGCTTATGCTCCAATACGTCTGTTAGTCTATAAGGTACCACAGGACTCTTTGTCGCTTTTTACATAAAATTAAGCATTTTTATATGCCACATAGAAATTATTTTAAATTTTTTTTTTTTCAATTTTAAAAAATTAATTGACTTTTTGTATCTCACTACCTATAAAAACAGGTTTCTTAGTTACTTGAGTTCTTGAGTCAACTATACAGGGCTTGATAGTTGAAATACAGTTCTCACCAAAAACACATTTTCCAAGCATGTTGTCATCATTTCCTGTGCAAATAATGTGCTTGATTTTATAGCAAAAGAAAATGTAGATTAAGAATGTCCTAAGAATAGTGTATCTGTTAAATAAGACTGGATATTGATGTGTTTATAAATTATGTAGTTTTGGGCATTACATTTAACTCTCAGCTGTTTGTAAGAGCTTTTATTTTTCTTAGAGATCCATATTAGCTTGTGCTGCATGTTTTTTAAATTTTGTTCCTCTGATAGGTGCAAAATGGAGTACTCACTGTATTTGTATGTGTCCCATTGTCCCTTGAACTTTGTAAGCATAATTTTCCAAATCTAAAACTCATTTATCTGTTTGTTAATTTTGGGTCATATGTGTGGGTTTGTAGATATCCATTTTCTAGTCTGGGGAAAGTTTTGCTCTTTCCTTTGTCAGTAAGAGTAACCTGTGGTAGTTGTACTGGTGTGATTCCACTGTATAAATGTAGAGAAGGGAGTAGGATTTCTAACAGGGAATAAGCACTCTCCTCTGTGGCACAGAGCTTAGCTTTGCAAAAGAATTTAGTGGCAGGAATGGGCCTGGCGGATCAGCAGCTCTGCATACCCTGTAGCCTTCTCCTTCCCCATAGAGAGTGGGAGCCATGGGTAGGAGTATGAGGCTAATGTTCCCGTTTGATACCTTGAATTGTCTCTGGAGTAACACTGCTCCTGCTCTGGCACGAATGGCTAAAGTAGGGATTCCTCTCCTCATCCTGTGAAGGTCACCTGCAGTATCTGGTTATGTGAACTTCACACCCACTTTGAAAATTCCTAGTGCAACTAAATTCCCAGCAGCTTTAAAATACATTGTGTTTCTAAAACTTCTTTAAAATTTTGCCTAATATATAAAAAATAAACCTTTTTAATAAAATGATGCTTCTCTTATGTGAATTTAAAAAAGTTTAAGTGGTTTGTTTGGATCGTTTGTTTAAAGGTTGAAGATGCTGTATTCCAGGACTTCTGTGAAGAAATTGGGGTAGAGAATATTCGTGTATTTGAGCAAGAACGTGTGAAACAGCAGGAAGAAACTGACCGAAAAAGGTGTTTTTTCAAACAAATGAAAACTGCTGTATGCATTATCAAAACAAGTACACCGGTAATTTAGTAATTGCATAGTTACTGTGGGAAGGATCGCCAAAGCCCAAGAGATTTACTGCAAGATGTCAAATTTTCTCCATCATAACATATCTAGCAATCCTAACAATATGGTAATGTGCTTATTACTGGGAGTCAGCTTAGGTATACTGTCTGTCTGGGGCTACTACACCAACTGCAATATTAGTCCACAGCGGTGTTTCACAACAAACTGGTTAGATAAGAATAAATTAATAATACTGTACATTTGACATTATTACAGTACTACATATATAATATAGCAATAAGCAAGAATAATAGCCTAAAAACTGCCCAGAGAAATGGCTTTATCGTTACATTTGTGAAAACATTAACACTATTAATCAAGGTGTAGTGGAGGCCACTCTGCCTCACTACACGAGGTCACACATTTCAAAGGAGAACCAAATGTAAGGATGTAATGTTTCTATACGGGAAGAACCCGATGACGAAATTTGAACTTCAAACAAGATATTTTCAAATTGGTAACATCAACAATAGGGATTTCATTCACATACTTACGTGACAAAGGACAAGTTTCTTTCTCAAAGAGGAGAGTCAGAAGCACTGGAGACTGGTGTCCTGTTCCAGGATTGGATATGAAGTCTTCCCTTTATTATCTTATAGACTAAAACTTGAAATAAAGATTACTGTTCATTTTTGTATCATCTCCTCAGTCAAGCAGACAGTGATTCATGGACCTTAGAGTTGTTAACAGCAAATCATCTTTGCCTGTATTCCAATACAGATTCCCGGTAACAAGAGTCCAATTCCTTTTCTGCACCCAGGTTATCTATTGAGTCGGACATTCTGATGTGTTGTCATCTAGGAACTTAGAGGACAAAACACTTTCCTTGCATGTGGTTGAGATTCAAATACTTGTACAGGTTCATAGTTGAACAGGATTTTAAACTTCAGAGTAGCGGACATGCTCCATTTTAAATCCTTGTTTTAGATCTCCGAGAATTGGGGGTTCAGAGGAGGGTGGTTTTAAACAGCTAATAACAGAACAGTAAAAGGAGAAGCTTTCTGTATTGGTCATGAGTACGTACCATGTACTGAGAAGTGAGACGGACTAAACTTTGTGTCACTTCTGTTTCTGAAGGGACAAAATGTTTGTGGAAGTAGTCATCAGTATACTCTGGACTAGTGTGGGTTTTTTGTTACTATTTTCAGTATATCTGCAAGATACTTCATTTGTGGATTGCATACTTACCTTGCAATGGTCATCCTATGTCTAAATTATCCTGTTAAATTTAGTGTGCTTTTTGCATTTATATTCAGTTATTCTGAAGTAAAAATTAATGGGGTACATTTGCTTTGCAATCTTTTTTTATGGACACTTTTAAATCAGTGCTAAACTGATTTCTAAGTGTTGGCCAAAAATAATGTTATTACATTATGTTTGGCCAGACTGGAGTTTGAAAACCAGAAGACACGACTGAGCATTCAGCTTGAATACAGTCGTGGCCAGCTACAAAAGTTAGTGAACAAGATCCACATGTTGAAGGAGACAATTCGTAAGGATGAGGCTGAGATTGTCAGGCTAAAGAAGGTAACTGTTACATTACAATGTCCTATTGCAGGAGAGAAGGAAAATATAGAGAATCATAATTTAAATGAACCTGATATTTATTTATAAATGTTCAGAATATTCAGTTGTATACATTTTAACTGGAAACAAATATGTTAAAATAACATGATATGTGAACTGGAAAAAGTCAAAATATTAAGAGCAACCTTAACTCTGCTTCTACATGTGCATTACAGGAATGTCCTTTAATGACATGAACATGCAACATGTATGCATCAATGACTATAGATAAACATGCAGTTAAAATATTAATAGCACATGGTTGAGGTTCTTTAGCAAGTTTGACTAGTGACAGCTAAACTAACAAGCATAAATCATGCTTTTCATCTTCAAAATACTTTACACATAGTAAATATAGTCAGCTTAAAATAATTTCAGCATAACTGAGCATACAGAATGGCCTCATATTTTTATATGAAGTAGTTTTTAAAGTTGACTGTACATATGGATACTTTCTTTGTAGCTGGCTTTTCTTAAAATTCACTTTTAAAAAATGGTGAGCATATGCAGTAATAAAAAGTTGCGCATTCATATGCAATTAGCATTATTTTATCCCTTTATATTGATAAATTGTTTATCCATGTGAAGCAGTGAAAAGGAGAGTGATGTTGCAGTGTGTTAAATAAAAGATATATATTACTTAGATGTTGATACCACATAAACCTGCTCCATCGTGAGAATGATGCCAGGTACATCTCTATTTTCCACATCTCTCCATTAAAATAAATCAAATCATCATTAAAATACAGCGGAAAGGGTATATTTCTGGAGATGGGGAAAATAATTTAGCATCAAAATAAAATTTCTTTGAAGAGTTGAAAGCATATATTCCTCTTTTGTGATTAAAATCCTTTTACTTAAAACCTGATTGCATGGGCTGTGAGTAAATAGGAGTTTTTGTGTGAGGTGTGAGAAGGATGGAATCCTCTCTCCAATGCTGAGGGAACTTTGGAAGAGGATTACAATAGCCCATGGACTATAATAGAGTCCACAGCATCTGTGCCCCCGCACTCTGTTTTAGTGGTTTTGAATAGTGGACCCATGTAGTCACGAAGCTGCTGGCCATGCCCCCGCCTGCACAACACCCCAGTGTCTCCTGTGGATAGGGTTGTCTGTGCAGGCTTTCCATGAATGCATTCTTCCCAGTGCCTTTTAGGCTTCATCCACTCTTACCGAAATCAAAGGCAAAATTCCTATTTACTTCCATATTGTAGGATCAGGGCCTTTGTAATCCTAGAGAATGGGATGTTGTTTTACTTTTTCTTTGCTTTGATAAAATTATCTGAAAGTTCTTTGTGTGTGTGTTGGTGTGGATCTTGCTATATATTCTTTTTGCTAGCAGTGGGGCCACTCACGCATCCTTAGCCTCTTCATGCTCCCATACAAGGACATAAAGGTGTGGCAGCTGTGACCCTCCCTCAGTTCCCTCCTACTGCCTGTGCAGCAGTATGGAACCTAATGTGTGTCTGGCTTGCTGGTGCTTTAATATTGGCTATTCTCATCCAAACTTCTAAAGAATCTTCACAAGATTTATGAACAGCCGTCATTCTCCTTATTTTAACGTATTGGAACAGAATAAAACCCAAGCTGATTGATTTTCTCTGACGCAAGCTCCCCCTCTACAGACTGCCTTGTACAAGGACTTGAAGGTGGTAGACTTAAAACCCACAGGCCTCATGCCTCACTTATCTTATGAGATGGATTCCATTTGCATATGGGCACATCAGGCACCTGATCTGGTTTGGCAAATCCCTCATCCCAAGCAGGTGGTCTGCACCTCATTCTCCTTTTGGATCCAGGAGTCAAGTGACACACAAGACTGAACTTCCATCTACTGGAGCAGTCAATGAAGGCAGCATCAGAATCCCTGTGGGTTCGAGGACCCTATGCCAGTGAAGCCTGCACCGTCCAGTGCACCACTGACCAGGTGGGTGATGCCTAAGAACTCAGCAGAGAATTCTGGGTTGAGCAAAGAGCCAACACAGCATCCATGGCACTGGATTCACCTAGACCTTCAGATCATGCCTCAGACATTGAAGCAGGGCACCGTCTGGAGTCACACAGAGTAATGGGGCAGAAGCTCATGGAAATGCTCAGTATGTAGCTCTATGTAGAGAGACGCACAGTAAGACATTGGGAAATAACCCCCTTCCTCCCCAAGCCTCACCCATCACTTAAGATGAGTGAAAAAAATAACAGAGTGACACCATTGGTACCAGGCTGGATATCAAAAGCGCCCCTACATATGCACTGGCACTGGAGGAACAACTGCAACCTATGCCAGATCCATACCTGGCACTGGAGACATCCCTTGGTACCAGCACAAGCCTGATACTGCTGACGCCTTACCCATTGGTGGCATCTATGGAGGAGATACAGCCATCTGTCCTCTATGATTGAGCAGAGAACTGTCCCGCATACGATCCATCAGCGGATCTAAGGACTTAGCCTCCACCGCATCAGGATTGGCACTGGTATAGCCCCAATAACCTGCCAGCCACCCATATGTTTACAGGATGCTGCCCTGACCGTTCTGGAAATACTGAGGCCTATCGTTCCAGGTGTCGAGAAACCACTTGCCTCTAATGAAAAAAGGAAAAGGTCCTCCTCCCCAGTGATATCACTGACTCCAATAATACCCAAGTACCAGGAAGAGTGGGACCCAGAGGTATGAATGCAGCAGCAGCAGTCTTCCTCCACACCCTTGTCCCGCAGAGGACCTGTCTCTGTCAACTCCAGATGAAACAGTCATTCCAGCACCGATGCTGATCCCAGATGATTTAAGGGCATTTCAGGAGCTCCTGATACAGATCACAGTCACCTTAGAGATCAAGAAATCTAAAAAATTATTTGCTATCCATCCCTGGGACCGGCCAGACTATCTCTTCCTATAAATGAGAGAGCTTTAGATTCAGAAAGAGCGCTGTGGTAAATGCCAGTCACCTACTGACGATGAAATGCATAGAAAAATGATATCTAGTACAGAAGGAATTGAGTATTTCTACTTGCACCTCAACCCCAGTTCCTTAGTAGTCCTGGCTGTCCACGCTCACCAGGAACCCAATAAAAGAAAAGGATCCCAAAAGACTTAACCTGTTTGGGTGAAAGTCCTCCTGTGCTTCATTCAAGCTGAAAGTGTCAAATTTGCCAGGTTGTCCTAACTAAGTACAATTTCTTAATATGGGATGTCACTCAGCAGACCCTGCTTCCCTCCTCTACTCCCCCCGCCCCCCAGAAGAGAGAATAGCTTAATTACCTTGTTACAGAGGGCCAGCTGGTAACAGAGTCCGCTCTTCAGGCTGCATTGGATGTGGCAGATACCACAGTCTGGTCCATGGCCACCTCTGTTATCATGTAAATAGCATTCTGGCTTTAGGCATTCGTCATGAAGTGCAAGCCATAACTGAGGATTTACCATTTGAAGGATCAGAATTATTTAGTGAGAAAACAGCACCCTGTACTCGCTAAAGGACTCCAAAGGAGATGTGGAGGTCCCCAGGAATCTGTACACCTCCAGTGTACCATCGTCAATCACACCACCAGGATAGGCAACAAACATTTCCATATCCCAATCAGTCTAAAAATCTATAAAAGTACAGGAGAGGGTGATAACTCTCCTCGACACCAGCCACACACAGCGCTGCATTCATGCATTGCCAAACTTGATAATTTGGTTGAAAGCTGCACCGACACCAATCAACTGAGCAATCTCTTGAGCACCAGCCTCACCTCGTCCCACCAGGCATGGTTGGACATCACCACTAACAAATGGGTGCTAGATGTTGCCACATGCCTATACCATCCAATTCTTCTCCCTACCCTCTTCCTGTCTTCTTCCTCATCCCTCTTCAAGGACCCTTCTCATGAGAGCCTTTCACAGCCAGAATTGGCCTTGTTACTCTGGCTAGTAGCAATAGAGGAGTTGCCTCAGGAATACAGGGGAAGAAAGTCTATTCTCTGTATTTTCCTATTCCAAAAAAGAAAAAGGTTTTTTGGTCCTATCCTACACCTGAGGAGACTCAACAGATACATATGCTTTCTCAGATTCAGGATGGTAATGCTTGCGTGCATCACTTTGAGGTTAAGACTGGTTTGTGACTTTCAACTTGCAATATCCATACTTCCCTATTGCCATCTCCCTGGCTCATAGAAAGTCCTTCAGATTTATAGAGGGACCCAAGCATTATCTAAACACAGTCCTACCCTATGGACTGTCCATGGCAATGAGTGTATTCACAGATTGCCTGGCAGTGGTAGTGAGATATCTAAGGAAATAGGGACTTCATGTCTACCCATACCTAGATGATAGGCTGATCAGGGTCAAGTCCCAGGATGGAGACCAAGACAGCCCTACATTGAATCATCTCCTTGCTCTCCTAATTAGAGCTCCTAGTGAATTATGAAAAATAGTCTCTCACACTTTCGAGGTGAATAGAATTCATACTCAACTCATGGTCAGAGTGAGCATACCTGCTTCAGTAACTTGTGCATGATAACTCACACATGCCTGGGACCAGTAGGACACATGTAGGTGTGTCCCTACGTGACGCTGCTTGCTAGATTCCTTCTGTGGCCATTACAGTGGGGTACTGCCCAGCTAAGCATCATTTGAGCACATTGGTCATGGTACCACCCCAAATCTTGTGAGCACTTACCTGGTGGCTGGATGTCTCGAATGTGAGACTAGAGGTGTCCTTCTTGACCTCCTCCCTGACATAGACAAATATATAGACGTGTTTAACCTTTATCCATTATTATTTTATACAATTATTATAGATGTGTTGTAACTTTTATACATTTTAATTTCTTTAAATTTTCATTTGCTATACACAATAAGTTGAAATGCTTTTAAGACATAATGTGGTTTCAATCTGTACAAAACTATTGGATGATAGTTTATTGGTCTTTACTACGTATTAAAATAATCCTTTGAGATTAAGACTATATATGCTCTCAATAAAATTCTTTTGGGTCTATGTTTAAGAAAGTACACCTCTACCCTGATAGAACGCGACCCGATATAACACAGATTCGAATATAACACAGTAAAGCAGTGCTCTGGGGGGGCGGTGCTGCGCACTCCAGCGGATCAAAGCAAGTTCGATATAATGCGGTTTCACCTATAACGCGATAAGATTTTTTGGCTTCTGAGGACAGCGTTATATTGGGGTAGAGGTGTACCATGAATAGCTCACTGGATATATAGGAATCTATGTAGCTGAGTATTTTCAAGTGCAATAGCTTCACAGCATGAATAGCTTTATAAAGAAACTGACAGCTAGTTTGTTTTACCAATGTAATATGGTATAAAGATTTTAAACCTTGATTCCCTCTTGCTATATAATGGCATATTAGGCTTTTAAAATAAAATATAACATTAAAAATATGGAATTATTTTTTATGCAGGCTGAGGAAGAATTTCTACTAATGGTGAATGAAATAATGGAGGAACAACAGCATCTTAAGGATAGATTAATAACTCTCAAAACTGAGGTTACAAAAGCCCAAAATGAAGTTGAGGAATCAAGGAAGAAATTATTAACCCTTAATAGGTAACTACTAACTGTACTTGGGTATAATAATTAGTTTAGTAATTTCAAAAGAGGTCAGCATTTTAGAAGCTTGAACCTTTTGTGGGAAGTCAGTTGTCATATTGGATCAGACCTGAGGTCAGTGTAGTCCAATGATCCAGTCTCCAGCAGTGGCCAGCATGCTACAAAGGAAGGTGTAAGAACCCGTAGTGGGTAGATGTGGGATAATATGCCCACCCCCGATTAGGTCTCATCCTGGTCTCTCATAGTTAGAAATAGTTAAACCTTGAATTTTTTATTAACATTTTAGGGTGATTTTTCTGTTCTTTTCTGTGTGCACAGTGCTACACTCAATGCCTGTCAGGTATTGCATATCTTGAGGGAAATACTAATTTTAGACCGCTTTCTTGTCCTGCTTCTGCTGCTAAATCCTCTTCTGTGGGAACGGTTCCTCCTTTAGTTTAGTCTAGTCTATCTTGTCTTCCCCAATCCTGCTTAATCTGTGTGCATATATTCTCTTTTAGCACCTCCAACTGAATCAATATATGGTCATTATTAGCCATATATTGATGATCAACCATTGTTCAATCCAGTGACTCATTGCCCTTTTTGGGGATAAACATGTATGTGTTAGCTAAGAAAATTTGTGAAATATTTCTCACAGTATACTTTATTCATAAAAAAGTTATAAGAATTCATAAGTTTGATACTCATCTAACAGAATGTATTGTATAACAATAATTACGATAAATAGTTTTTAACTGCCAACTATTAGGATTATTATTCTATTTAGCCACTTATATTTTTACAGTAAATTGATTAGGTGATCTTGAATTGTATTTCAAGTAGAAGAAATGCTAGGAGAAGATACTATGTCTGTTCGTGGTTTGAAGGGAAGAAATCTTCATGAGCAGAAGTATGGGCTGGTAGGATAGAGATTGTAGTTGATGTAGTAAGTGTGCTAAATTATGAAGGCTTGAAACTGTTGAACTGTGATGATATATCAAGACTATTTTCCGCCCCTCTGGTATTGGTAAAAGAATCCATGTTTGAAAAATGACATTACTGGTCTGCTTACCTTTAATTCCTTCTTGGTGCTAATGCATTATATAATACTTCAGATCATTACTAGGACCAAGTACTTACCTTTTAATGGATAATGTAGACTACAGTAGAAAAATCTTTCTTGTTTCTGTTAGTGCTTGCCTGATAGTTACATAATTTTAATAATGCCAGTGTTTAACAGATTCATACCTTTGTATGGTTGCAGGGAAATGGGTAAGTTACAAAAGGAAGCTATATCTATTGAAACCTCTCTGGAACAGAAAAGATTAGAGAGACATAATATGCTTCTTGAATGCAAGGTCCAAGACTTGAGAATTTCTCTCTTATTGGGATCACTGGATGAAATCAGTGAAGTAGAGGTACTGTAGAAAATACTTATGAAAGATGTACTATAGCAGAAAACATATATTGCTGAAGTAAAATGTTTTTTCCTAATGGCTGACTGCCCTGGTTATATAGTAATGTAAAATAATAATATAGGCACTGGCCAAATCCATCTTTATGCAGCCAGTAGAAGGGGCTATCACAACATTTTTACACCCACCCACATTGGCAACATCTTATTGAAAATATGTAAAAACTTCATAATACAAAGGCATTGCCACTATCAACATTGCAAATAAACATTTAAGAGGATGCATAAAGACAAAACTATTACTGCAAAAATGTAAAACCCAGATTAGATAGGATGAAATTCAGATTTGGATGATTTTCTATCGAGGACTCCTCCTTAGATGATATTCTGACATTTCCCCCCCCCCACCCCCTCCACCCTAAATATGAATATTATCTAAATCTGAGCCTACTTCCTCCAACAGCTATAGAAATAAAAGTCAAATAAATTAGAGACGGAATATACTCTTAGGAATACTTATGACAGTTTCAAGTCCTCCCTCCTGACTTTCACAGCAGGCAGGGCCACTTGGAGGTTTTTGGGAGTCTAGAGCAAAATCTGAAACTCGGGGCCCTCCACCGTTCCAAAAAAAATTACCACTGAGGGGAGGCTGGGTCAGGGGATTGGAGGGCAAGCTTATCCTGCAGTGGCAGCTCCTGCTCTCTGTTTGAGAGGGCCTCCAAACCAAGTGATGGTGAGACTCTATGCCAGTTTGCAAAGCTACTTGGTTTCCTCCCCCCCCCCCCCCGAAATGGGTGCCCCAGAGCAAACTGTCCCTCTCCCTTGCCAGGTGGCCGTGTCAGCAGGATTGCCTCCGCTCTCCCCCCCACCCCCGACTGCTGTGAAGAGTAAAAACTCTTTGCCTTTATCCTTTGTCTCAGTGGATAGAGTGTGAGAGGGAGAAAGGAAGTTTACAAGGAAGCTCCCTGAATCCAGTCTTGGGAAAGCTCCTCAGGGTGAGGATAGGCAGAAATGGATGGGAGAGGAGGAAAGAAGAACAAGGGGACAGGGGCATTCAGTGGAGAGAAAGGGGATTGGAGGGTACTCATGGAGTGTCTAGATCGGCAGAAAGGAGATGGCATAGGGTGAGCTGGGGCTGTGGCTGTCATGGAGTAGGAACAAGGTGGAGAACTTGGAGGGGAAGTAGGAATGTGTCACTGATGTGTGGAATATGGGAGGGAAAGTGGTTCTGGGGTACTGACATGAGGAGGATGGAAGCAGCATGTGAGAGACTGGGACTGGGACGGAGCTAGAGTAGTAATTGTTGACCTGGGCTTGCAGTGAGTAGGAGGCAGTCTGCTTGTGCTCATTGCCAGCAGCCTAAAAGGAAAGGGAGATTTGTTTATTTTTTCTAACAATTGGCTGGAAGGGGTGTTTTCTGTTGACTAATATCTGTAGGAGCCTTTTTTGAAGGGGGATTTAAAGACTCCCTGGAAAGCCCAGTCTAACAGACCAGAAATGGAGGTAGCCCATTCTAAGTGCACTCTGGACAAATGCACTTCTGCTTTCATGATAACACCACACCTGCAATTGTTGGATTCTTCAAAGTTCATAGAAAGACATCATTTTCAACTATTAATACTTCCTGCTAATCAACTAGTAAATCATAACGTTTGATTACAGAAGTGTATTAAATAAATTAGAAAAGGGAAAAGTTGCTCCATTTTTCTCCCTCATTCCATGTCATGTAGACTGTTCTTTTTAGTTGTTAAAAAGAACACTATATTTCTCAACTGAAAAGCCCTTCATCTCTGTTACAGCTGGGAACTGAAGCAGAAAGCACTGAGGCTACTGCAGATATTTATGAAAGAGAGAGAGCAATTCAGATAGACTACAGCAGTCTAACAGATGATCTAACGGTGAGACCCTTTATTTTATTTTCTTTATAGTACTATAGAATGAAGCTTTCATGCATTTTTCAGCATAATCTTAACCAAATGTTTTGACTGAAAACTGGTAGGTTTGAGATTTGACAGCAGCCATTTCCTGTTAGACATCCTGACTTTTTAGCAGTCTATATGCATTTTATCGATCAGAATATTCCACTTAACTACATTCTATAATTTAAAGTTTTTGTAAAGTGCAAATCTAATGGAGGAAGAACAGAAATTGTAATTTTCCTTCATACTACTGCATTCATGTGGCCCTGCAATAGAAGTCGCATACCTGGCCACAGAACTTTCAAGAGTAGTGTTTGGCAGATAAGGGCCTTGTGTCAATTCCCCGGAGCCTTGCATTCCATAGACCAGTGGTTCTCAACTGGGGTACATGTACCCCTGGCAGTACACAGAGGTCTTTCAGGGGGTACCTTAACTCATCTAGATATTTGCCTAGATTTACAACAGGCTACATAAAAAGCACTAGTGAAGTCAGTACAAACTATAATTTCATACAGACAATGATTTGTTTATACTGCTCTATATACTATACATTGAAATGTAAGTACAGTATTTATATTCAAATTGATTTATTTTATAATTATATGGTAAAAATGAGAAAGTAAGTAATTTTTCAGTAATAGCATACTGTCTCACTTTTATATCTGATTTTGTAAGCCAAGGAGCTTTTAAGCGAGATGAAACTTGGGGGTACGCAAGACAAATCAGACTCCTGAAAGGGGTACAGTAGTCTGGAAAGGTTGAGAGCCAAAACTATAGACCAAGGGTATAAATACCCTGTCTTCTGTAACAATCCTTTGGATCATCTGTTCATCTGCTGGAGAAGTTGCAGAACCAGCCTTTCCCTTTCTCCATCATGTTAGTTTTCATGAAAGAGTTGTAAATAGTTAAGTGGAGTGGCTTAAATCATTGAGTGTAATATGCACTCAATCTTTTTTAAGTTCTTGTTCAAGATGACCAATCTGTTGATGATAAGAGTTAAGATACTTTTCTTGTCCTACTATATTCCCTACTGTACATCAGCACAAAAAGGGTGTTTTATGTCTCAGGGAAATGTGCTCAGGCAAAGCTGCAATACCTGCAAGGCCCTGCCCCAAAGGACCAAAAAAATGTTCCACAACTCGCTACTGCAAGAATCTGTAGTAGTGAGTTGGAAGAGTGTCTCCTAAAAAATTCTCCCCATGCACAAGCAATGTGGCTGCTAATCCTTACCCCAGTCTGCTTCAAAATACCAGGCTCAAAGGAGTTGGTCATTGTTTTGTAAAGGTCTTTTATAAAGATGCTCAGGAACAATCAAAATTGGTTCTGAGGGCTAAAGATACTACCTAGTTCTTCAAATAGAGCAAAGGAAAGCACTTTTATGGTATCAGAAATTCTTCTTCTCCAGCAGAATGGCAGGGTAGATCACCCAGAACTCAAGCTGCTTCACATAACAGAACGGTTTGGCTTAAGCCATATATGATGGGATGTCTTGGCCTGTCTAAGGAAGTCAAGGCAGAATATTAAGAGACCAGACCTCTCTGCTAGGAGGTGTCATGCTGCCAGATGGAATGTGTTAAAAAGGTTTTCTCAAGGCAGAGGCCTTTGACCATGCTTCTTGTCCATTTTATTTCAATTTAAATTATCTTGGGCTTTTTTTTTTAATGTTAAGATTATTCCTGACTATTGCCAAGGTCTGTTCAGCGGCTGTTTCTGCTTACCGTGTCCTGATGTAAGGGACCGTGATATATTTTCATCTGTGGTGAACCAGTTTGTATAGGGTCCTCTTGTCTGGGAGCCTGCTGATTCTATTGGCAAGTAATCCCCTTTTATGACTTTTTGTCTTCTGCTTAGGACCTACAGTCTGATAAAGAGATTGAGGCTCATCTGACACGATTGCAGCAGCAAATAGTATCCAAAGAAAATGTTTTATTCAAAACAGCTGCACCAAACCTAAGAGCACTGGAGAAATTGCAGACTGCTAAGGACAAGTTCCAAGAATCAGTAGATGGTAATACTGAATCTTCCTTATTATTAACCATTTCTGTGAAAGTTTTCCATCCTGCATAATCATTATGCTGAAACTGGTCCTATTTTTTTTTTACTCCTTTCATGTATTTGAGTATTTCCTTTGTGTTTGTGTCAGAGACTTACTACTAGAGGCCCTGTGTTTTTCCTTAGTTACACTTTTATACTGCCATTTCATATTAATAATCTTATTTATAAAATGTTGCATCTTATTCCAAATTATTTCTTTAAAACTTTGTGTTCCATCATTAATTCTGTTTGTATCTTCACCAAAAATATCTTCGTAAGCAAGATATAGTGTATATTCCTTGATAAAAGGTTTATTACATTTCAGAGATGACTGATTTGCTAAGAATTTTCTGCTAATTTCCTTAGAAGCAGCAATCCATGTACCAGTTACCATATCTTTTCTGGAGCTCAAACACCAACATTACTGCAAAATTAGTGGCGTGCTGTAAGTAGCACACTACTGAGAGTGCAAGGAATACCACTGCCACACCTAAATATAGCCTTATAAACTGCTATAGAGTTTACCCAATCTAAATATACAACTGTGAACAACCTGTGCTCAGGCAGAGCTCCTTCTCTTCACACATCAGTCTGGTCTTGTGTAGGGAAAACTGGAAACATCCAAACAATTTTCTAGGTTTTCAGTCTCGGTAGCTGAGCTCTGGGAGCAAATTTAGGACATCGCCATGTTGCTCATATATGCACTGAAGCTGTTTTCCGTTTATGTTGCAAAACAGATTTCTCTAGTAAAATGCTTATTAGCTAAGATATGGATTACTAAGAGAATTAAACTAATTTTAAGCTTATTATTGAGCACTTTCTGCAAAGCTAAAGTTAGTTCAATTTATTCTTTCATAGCTTTTGAGGCCAGCAGAAGGGAAGCCAGGATATGTAGGCAAGAATTTGAACAGATGAAAAAAAGAAGATATGAGCGTTTCAGCCAGTGTTTTGAGCATGTCTCAGTAGCTATCGATCAGATCTACAAGAAACTCTGCAGAAACAGTTGTGCTCAGGTGTGTAATGTTTTAAAGTACTTGGCTTAAAAAAAGTTTACTAGCTTGCTTTCCCTCAATTATAATTGGAATCATAATAGTGAAAGTTTCATTAACTAGAACAGTAGAATTCACTTTTTTTACTCTCCAAAGATATGTTATGGTTTCAGTCTTGAACATGAAGTTTATACAAACTGATTAGAAGACAAAGATCATTAGGAGAATCACAATTACATGAAGAAAAGATAGCATCTACCAGTCTACACTTACCTGCAGCTTTCTTCTGTGCAAGAGAGGGATGGACTAATGTGTTCGCTCTTTTGGGAGTTTGTTTATTTGATTTTAGACTTCTGGAATACCATGCGTAAAGTATATTCACTATTTTTGGTTTTTAAAATAAATATTATTGGTGCACAGATCTAGTGGTGGGTATAGCAAGCATCCAGAACATTCAAGTATCCATATAACCAGTTAACAAGACTATTTTAGATATCTTGACCCTAGCATTTTTGTTTTAGCACTCCGTACACTTCTCTAAATAAATGGGGAAAAAAACACTTACACATACCCAGTTTATATCAGTATATTTATTTATAAAGAACTATAGAACAATTGCTTCTCTGTATTAACTCCTCATCAGTCATTCAGCATGTACTTCTGAAACTTATAAAAGAAAAATATTACCAGTCTTTCAAAGTAAATTATAGGAAATCTCCCACACAATTTGTGCATATCAAGTTCAGCAAATTTTTAAGTATTTCTGCAAATGAGTTCAAGTTTTGCTCCATACCACAGACACATTTTCCACGCTTTTTCTCCCTCAGAGAGAACGTGAGAGTTTAATTGTATACAGGAGATTTAACTACATAGATCTTCACAGTGATAACTGATATCTTCCTGTGCCCAACATGTAAGATATCCTTTCTGGCCTCATAAAACCCAAGTTCATACCCCTTCTTATTGAAGGAGGCCAGGGAGTTAAAGTTGAGATCACCCAGCAGTATTAAGAGTGGGAGATCTGGAATAACCACACTTCAGCAGTTAGTTATAAAATAACGTATGGAGAAAGCCTCTGTGCAAACTTATACCAGCAGCATAGCAGTTAGCAATCCCTTACTTGTATTTTAAACATAGTGGTCTAGACCCGGCAACGAATGTACTACAGAGAGTGAGTTGGAATGATATATAGCCTCTGACTTAATTTATACAGTCTCTGGTTTGTTTGTTTGTTTGTTTGTTTGTTTGTTTGTTTGTTTGTTTGTT